AAATGTACGGCACCGATTTCAGAGTTTTATTTATGCTCTAAAATAATAAAAAATATAAGTGCCGTACAAAATATTTGGCTAAAAAAAAATTATTACATAATTATGGGTGCTCAGAAGTTAACGCCATTTTTCTTTGGGTAAAAATCATTATTTCCTGAACGGCATAAACGGAGGCAAGTTATTCCACTGTATAGTCTTTATACAAAAGTGCCATATAAAATTATTGGCACCAGAAAAAATCAATTGGCTGTGAATAAAAAAAATTGTTTATCATTTTTGCAATTTGGAAAATCCATTTGACAGTTACTATAGTACTATATATTTTCAATTTTTTTTACTACTTTTTTACGGTTTTAAATTATTGAAGGGTTAATATTAACAAATTTTAATTTCAGGGTTTTCCATAATTAGTAGGATTTTCTAAGGCGTATTCACTACATTATGAAATTATATATTCCTGTACGGCATTTACCCCATACATTAACACCATCAAATGATAATAAAAAATTATATCGCCGTACACTTTTGATGTAACATTCATCGAATGCTATAAAAAATATTTAAATAATTTAAAATCTCAATTTTACTATACTCAATAATTATACGGCATTCATTGCAGATATGAAGGGAGTTAAATATGGAATATACAAATAATATACATATATGCATAAATTGTTTAAACAATAAAATGAAAAGAGATAGTGTTTTGTAAATTCCAAGTACCAATAAAGTACCAATAAAAATGTAAAACTAAATTATGTTAATCAATATATGTTTTAGAATTTATCAGAAGAATCAATGCAAAAAATTTATAATTACCAAAAAATTCAATTTCAATTCAAATTCAATTTTAAGTATTAATTTAGAACCTTTACAGAATGCATCATTTTCATGTTTGATTAATTACACAGGCCAACAAGGAAAAAATTCCAGAGATCAGACACTGCGTTTCCGAAGGCATTTGGCGCGCTGAATCCGAATCTGGCCTCAGAATTGATCCATCACCCTAGGTTTCCGAGATATTCTAACCTAAAAGTGCAAAAAACACGTATTTTTGCTATTTTCAAGGTTATGTAACTTGGCGAAAAAATTTTTTTTCTCAAAACTGAAAATATCATTGGAAACTACTATCTTTCCCCTTCAAAACGCATTTTTTTATTTGTAAAAAGCTTTATTTTTCGCGGAGATATCGTCGATTAAAGATGATCAGTATAGCTTCCTTATTAAACCATGGCTATAACACAATATCACTAAGCGCTACGAGCCTTAGAGGGCTCGCAGCGCTTAGTGTTATTGGGTAATAGGGCTTGAAGTTAACCTTCCTGACGATTAGGGCTCACAGCGCTTAGTGTTGTGGGGTTATAGGGCTTGGGATTAACCTTCCAGACATATAGGGCTTGGGGTTAACCTTCCTGACGATTAGGGCTCGCAGCGCTTAGTGTTATTGGGTTATAGGGCTTGAAGTTAACCTTCCTGACGATGAGGGCTCGCTCCGCTTAGTGTTGTGGGGTTATAGGGCTTGGGGTTAACGTTCCTAACAATTAGGGCTAGCAGCGCTCAGTGTTATGGGGTTAGCCATGATGTAATAATATAGCCATACTGGTCATCTTAAATTGACGATATCTCCGCGAAAAATAGAGCTTTTTCCAAATAAAAAAATGCGTTTTGAAGGGGAAAGATAGTCGTTTCCAATGATGTTTTCAGTTTTGAGAAAAAAATTTTTTTCGCCAAGTTACATAACCTTGAATATAGCAAAAGTACGTGTTTTTTGCACTTTTAGGTTAGAATATCTCGGAAACCTAGGGTGATGGATCAATTCTGAGGCCAGATTCGGATTCAGCGCGCCAAATGCCTTCGGAAGCGTAGTGTCTGATCTCTGGAATTTTTTTTTTAAATTTTGTCGGCCTGTGTTATTTTTCAAACAAAATTATCATAAAAATTATTATTGATTTTACAATTTTATATTATTTTACATCAAACAATTTTATTTTATTTGTTGTATTGGATACAAAATATATATACGTCATAATTGAAAAATAAAAAATAAATTTTGTCAAAACAAACAAATTGAATTGGAGATGTGCGTACACATCCTAAAAATTTTGCATGGAAAAAAAATTGCATTTATGCAAACGTTTTTTTCGAACTTTGAGTTTTTTCCCCTTTAGTGCCACGATATTTATACGTTAATATTTTTTTAATACTTAATTTTTAATGAATTCGAAAAGGGCACAAATGTCGTACAGGAACTTTTCACTAAAATATCCACCCCTTGAGCGGAAAATTCATTTCCTTACTGTGCCATAAAAAATGTACGGCATAATGTCTTGAGGTATAGTTTTACATAGCGCTTTCTAATTTTTTTTAATTTTAGTGTGCCTGTAATAATTTTCCTTATTCTACGTAAAAGGTAAGGGTTGAGCAAGGGTTAAAAGCCCTTACAGCCAGTGCATTCGTACGGCATAGCAAAATATATCTTTCAAATAAATATCTTTATTTAAAATCAGGCACGCCGCGCCGTACAGTTTTCTATAATCTTTACTTTAGTGAAAATATTTGGAAAATTAAAATTTTTTATTCTTTCCAGAACTGTTATTTTTGTACGGCATAAGGTTTTTATGTCTTATATTTCTAATATCTGTCTCAAATGTATTCTTTTAGGTTGTAGTATTTAAGTCATAGACTCTTAAGATGCCTAAAATGATTAGAAAAATTTTCCTATCCGGCTCTTAAGTCTATTACAAAAATGTTTATTTCCATATAATTTTTCACTTACGTTTTCTGCTTATTAATAATTAGCGGTAAGGAGTACATTATTTATTATTAGGGTTACGGACATTGTTAGTTACTATAACAGCCTTCGAAAATGGGCGACCTGTATAAAACGGGTTTAATGATTCACTCATAAATGTAAAATATGCTACGTACGGAAATAGCTATGTGTTTTAATGATTCAGCTCGCATGTCGACCATTCCAAGAAGACAGCGGATACAGTGCATTTGTTGGCGTTTTTTAAAAAAGTCTGCTCAAATACATCATGGGAAGGTCCTGATAAGACACATTGAAATAGGTTAATATTCTTTAACAAAAGATGATGCACCATTAATAAGTTTAATTTATTTTTTATCAGATATACCAAATAACTGATAGTTTTTATTTACAATACATTATTTATCTTAAATTTTGTTAAATACATAATTATTTTTTATAAGAATTTTCAAGATTTTTAATTAACTTACAAATTTGATAAAGCATGTTAACAGAAATACGAAACAAAGGATCGTGATCAATACTGCTACTGCACAACAATGTTTTACATAGAGATGAACAATGCAATTAATAACTGAAATACGTATGTATATGCTGTACTTCTATGTTGGCTTTATTTGAGCATGTATTGAAAAATGAAGAAATTGGTTAAACCTATTACAAATATTCCGTTTGTCATTTTAAATTACTGGGACCCATGCTTTCGTTAATGAAACCATTTTTGTAGTGTTTATATTTAATTTACTTGTACTGTAAATAAGTTCAGAGAGTTTTTTTACTACTGTCCTCATTAAATACCTATTTCGTAAACGCCGTGAAACGTATATTGTACCAGAACATTAAAGTCCACTGTATTTTTTCATTCAATATACGATTATTCCTCGCTGTTTTATAAATAACATTTGTTTATGCATTGGAATGCTAATAAATAGTTAATTGCTTTGATAGTCTGACGTCTGAGGTTATTGATACGCTGCTTTCAATCAATTGTTTTAAATGTATTATATTTGAGAAATTTGCAAGAATGGGATATATATTTATTTCATGCACATACGTGTATTTCAATACCGGAAGTCAGACTGGATAATTAAGATGCAGTCATGATAAGGAGGAAAAATGTTACGTGAATAGATCCCATATAAGTCTTAGTTTCTGATTTCGATATTTATTCAAGACAAGTATGATTGACGACATCTAGTAACAATTTCTATGTATATTTGTTCAATGAATTTCGGTACTTATACGATTGCTGTTACATAAATGGGTAAATGAATGATTTAAAACGAAATATATATTTGTACAAGGTATATTTTTTATTTATTTTATTTATTTATTTATTTATTTAAAATACACATCCAACAGGCGATGCTCAATAACAGGATATGTTAAGTCTAGTAATAAAATATAAAAAAAAATAAAAGAGAAAAATTAACTATGAAAAAATAGAGGAAAAAAAATAGTACAAAAAATAACACAAATATAAAGAACAAAATAAAAAGGCAACAAGCTGTAAAAGACCGATATGACTACATAAGTAAAGCATCTTTTATATCATTAGCCAAACAACAAAAAAGATCGACATTATTTTCTATCTCACTGTACTTGGAAACAATTTAATACAATGGTGATGACTGATGCTACTAGGATGTTACTACGTGCTGCGGGTAGACTAAAAACATTATTACTTCTAGCTGATAGTCGTGGTACTTCGATATTAATATTACTTAAAACGCCTGGACAGTTCAAAATGTTATGTAGAACTTTATACAAAAACATTACTTCAAAAACAGATCTTCTTTTAGCAAGGACATGAATATTGAAAGGCTCAAGTAATGGATCATGCGAAAAACCCTGAGGGGGATATGTACCATCCAGTAAATACACAGCTGATTTCATAAACCTACGCTGTACTCTTTCCAAAGTTGCAATTTGTTTAGCATAAATTAGGTTCCAGAGTATTGATGCATATTCTAATTTAGAATTTAAAATTTAGAACGAATAAAGGTAGTGTAGAGCAATCGTAGTGTAGAAATACTGATAAAGCCTTTGGAATTCCTTATCATGAACCCCATATTCTTGAATGTCTATATGTTTTGTAAAAGATTGTAAAAGAAAGTATATTATGAAATATATTGATGAAAACCAGTTAGGCTTTTGTAAATCTAACTAAGCATAAGTAGAGTTATAGATTAAACATATTTTATAAATTTAATTTTTTTGTTTTTATTAGGTGTAAGTGATAATTCAGTAGATTCTACTTCTACAAAAGATAAAATTGCAAAGATAACTACAGGATTCAATAGGAAGCCGATATTTGTTGATTGCAAATTTTACACACCTTCCGTTAAAGAGGAACAGCCAAGTGGGACACCTGTTATAGCGGTAAGATCATGTGAATAAAAAAATCCTTTTCCTGATTTAATAATAAAATTTTGCAGGTTCATGCAGAAGATAATGATCCAAAAGATGCCGGAGGCATGGTCACTTATAAAATTATAAAACGGGAAGGCGAACGGGCCTATTTTCAAATAAATAATATCACAGGTGAAATTTTTACATCGATGTCATTCGATCGTGATGAGCCTACCCGTCAAAAAGAACTCTATGTAACGGTACAAGCAACTGATAATGGTAGGCCTCCACTTGCTGACATTTGTTCTTTTAAAGTTACTGTGACAGATATCAACGACAACGCACCAAGCTTCGATTCATTTGTAAGAACCAGTCCCTTTGACAATTGTAACTTTGTTAATTTAATGATATACATTTCAGGACTATAAAGCAAACGTAAATGAAGACACAAAACCAAACAGTGAAGTTATGAGAGTATTTGCTTACGACCTGGATGATGGAAAAAATTCAGAGTTGACATATAATTTTGAAAGAAATGAAATATTTTTGAAATACTTTAGAATCGATAGTGGTACAGGACTGGTTTATCTTAACGAAGTGTTGGGGAAAGGAGTAAGTTAATTAGACGTTTTTAATTATTTTTTAACTTATTCATTTATTGTAGAAAAAAGATACGAAATTTACTAACACAGTTATTGTAAGTGATAACGGTAATGATAATAACGAAGGCCCCAAGTCTTCAAAAGCGGAAGTCTCTATAATTGTTGTGGGTTCTGATAAACAACCACCAAAAATTGTCAGCATAGAACCCTCACAGTTAAAGCTACCCGAGAGTTTTATTAATTATTCTCAGAAACTAGTGACAATTGAAGCAGAGTAAGTTATGAATATTATTTGTAGATTTTTTTGTAATAACGTATTTTTTGTTAGATCAAGCATGCCCGAAAAAGAAATTGCGTTTGAGTTGGTAAAGGGTAAAACTGCTCAAACAAATAAAGATCAAACCTTTTTGTTAGTTCCTGAAAATGAGGTGGCTTATATTAAATTAGGTCGACCATTGGATTATGAAATGGTAACTGAATATACGTTAACGGTTCGTATGAGGAACAAAAATCTTATGGACACTTCAATTAATATACATATTGAAATTGAAGATGTAAATGATGAAATACCCAATTTTCTAGAATTTCTTAGAGGCAGTGTTGTTGAAAATGATAACCCAGGAGCACAAGCTATACAGGTACTATATTTCACAAATTAATTGTCACTTTCCACTTAAACTGATATTGAAATAGATATTTTATAGAGCATTTTGCTTAAGTTTAGTCCCTAATGTGTTTCTTTTCTTAAATAATATCAGTTCTTAAAGTAGAATAGTTCTGACTTATAGATGTTGCAAAATAGTAAAAACTCTGTATTTGTATATTATATTTATACGAGGAAAACTAAATTGAACTGCATTATATCAAAGAGAAATCATATCTAAAGATTTTTTATTTCAGGTGAGAGCTATCGATAAAGATGGAACTTCGGCACATAATCAAGTGAGCTATGAACTTGTGGATAACAAAGACATATTTTCAATAGATAAAACAACTGGTATAATAACATCTAAGGTTGTTTTTGACCGTGAGCGTATTCCTCTCTACCATGTCATGGTTAAAGCCTACGATAACTCTCCATCAGCGTTAATACAAAATTCAAGTGAACCCAACATAGTCATGCAAGCATTTCAAATTAGTATTGAGGATCAGAATGATAACAAACCACAGTTTACACGGCCTCTTTATCAATTTAATGATATATCTGAAAGTGCTGATAGAGCTAGTACTGTTGGAGAAGTAACAGCCACTGATAATGACACAGCATCTCTCATTACTTACAGTATAGTGGAAGGCAACATAAATGATGCTTTTTCTATGGAAAATACGACGGGAAGAATTAGAGTGCACGGACAGCTTGATTTTGAACAGATTGAACAATATGAGTTGAAAGTAAAGGCGTTTGATGGCAAATTTGAGGATACTGCCAGAGTCATAATATCTATACTAAATGAAAATGATGAACGACCAGTTTTTGAAAATTATACCAAAGAGGTTAGATTTGAAGAAGAGACACTCATAGAGGGGTGTATTAAAACTATGATTGCTTATGATCCAGATATTAAAAATCGAAGCGCTGACCAACACATCGTTTTTGAAGTTGATAGGCAACAAAGAGATTTTCTAACAGTGACCAATGAAGGTTGTGTTAAATTAATAAAACCCCTTGATAGAGACCCACCATATGGTACCCCTACCAGACAAGTTTTTATTTATGCTTTAGATAGTGACGGAGGTACTAATTCTTTAAGAAGTTTTGCGGAAATTGAAATTGTGCTTGATGATATTAATGACAATGCTCCATATTTGAATGTTACCGAAATTGTGTGGTATGAAAATCAACCACCGGGGTTAATAGGAACATTAAGTGCTAATGATATTGATAGTCCTGAAAATGGTCCTCCATTTACATTTAGACTTGACGAGTCTAATACTCGTGAAATTACAGACAAATTTTCCATTAGCGGTGATCAATTGTTTGCCCGTGTAACCTTTGATAGAGAGGAGAAAAAATATTATGACATATCTATCTCCATAACAGACAGTGGTACGCCTCGACAAACTGGGGTAAGTACTTTAAGGGTTATAATTGGAGATGTAAATGATAATGCAGCCAAAGATGGAGAAAGTAACATATTTGTTTATAAATATGTCAATGGACCAGATAGGGATATTGAAATCGGAAGAGTTTTTGTCGATGATCCCGATGACTGGGATTTACCCGATAAAGTTTTTGTTCAACAAAATCTATTCGACGAATTTTCTTTAAGTAGAACTAATAATGGAATGATTTTAATGAAGCCTACTACTTCGGCTGGAACTTATGTCGTCAATTATGAAGTGACGGAAAGTCATGAACCAGACATTCCGACGCATACAGTTAAGGCTGTTGTCACAATAACTATTAAGGAAATTATTGAAGAAGCTGTTAGAAAATCTGGATCCATTCGCATGCAAGGATCAACTATAGAAGAATTTGTTGGGGAACCTATGGGAGAGGTAAATTAAATAATTATTAAATATATCTACAAAATGTAGAAACATTTTAAATTTTAAAATTATGTAATCTGATAGTGTACATTAAGACGAGACAGTATTTTATGTCATAGGTTAACAATATTTTTTTTTAGAATGGATTTAGCAAAAAAGACCTTCTTCAGCAACGTGTCTCTCAAATTTTAAATACGTCCCTTGAAAATGTCGATGTGTTTACTGTAATACGATCCCCCAACAAAAATGATATGATTGATGTTCGATTCTCAGCACATGGATCGCCATATTATGCACCAGAAAAGCTAAATAACAAAGTTACAGAACATCAAGATAACGTAGGTATTATTCATAACTAACTGATGATGTAATTAAATAAAATTTGTTTTAGCTTGAAAATAAATTAGATGTCGAGTTTGTGATGGTTGGTATAAGCGAATGTATAAACGAAACAGTCTGTCCAGAGTTTTGTTCTTGTACAAATGTCCTTACTATATCAGAAGAACCAGCTGTTGTTTTTACAAATAGGACATCTTTTGTTGGAGTCGGTGCAGTAGTTGAACCAGTGTGTGAAATTATTCCAAGAGAGGTGCCCAATTGCTTAAACGGCGGAATTTCTGGTGAGAATGGCACGTGTAGCTGCCCAGAAGGATTTCAGGGACCTCATTGTGAACTATTAGCTATTGGTTTTGCTGGTGATGGCTGGGCGATGTATCCTACTTTTGATGCATGGAACAATACTGAAATTACAATAGCGATAATGCCTCAAACTGAAACAGGATTAGTGTTCTATGCTGGACCAATGACTACGAGACATGCAGTACTTTCGAAAGGTAAGTGAAATAAATATAAAATTGTTGTAGATGAATTAATTAATAATACACGTAATTACAGTTTATTTATGTCCAAATGTGATAGTTTCCTTTAGTTTTTTTTTCAATAAATGAACTAAACCATGTTTATATATTACAGTTAAAGTAATTAATAATAATAATAATAATTCAATAATGCATTGCATTTAGTATCACCAGTAATATTCTCGAAGTCGATATATAAACTACATCTACGAGTATTTTTATACTAGGGGCACACTATCGGTCAAACGGCATTTTTTTATGTCAAAATCAAATATCTCGAAGAAGAATTAACTAATTGTTTTACATTTTTTTTTAAATTAAAGCTTATTTGATGCAGATTTAGGGAAAATTATTGTGAATGTTATCATCCCCTATTTTGGGGGTGGAAATGAAGGGTGAATAGGCGAAAAAAGTAAAAATTGATTTTCTTCATTCAAAAATCTTATATCTTCAATAAATACAGTGAAATTAAGACACATTTTGGTGGAATCAATGCTCAATTGAAACAAGTTAAGGAAAAATTAATGAAAATATTTTCATTAATTTTACCTATATATGTAATATGTGGACTTAGTCGATAATGTACAAAATCATCACTCTTAACAATTCTGATGATTTGCTAACAGAATGGTGTAAAACTTGAAATGGAATTTTAAAGAAGATTCTTTGAAATTGGAAAACAATCCAAAATAGCAAATAATTTATAAAATAAAAATTTTAAAATTGTGCACATTATGTAACTTATTGCATTTCAATAAATAATTGTTGATATACAATATGTAGGTATTGGCAGTACATATTCATTTTATATTTTCTTGATTTTGTTACCCCTGAAATTAGTGTCGAGCCGGATATAATATCTATATTTTATAACCATTATTATATAAAAAATTTATTTATTTATCTTTTTGTTGTAGATTTTATATCTTTGGAATTGAAGAACGGATTTCCTTTACTAAGACTAAATTTTGGTAATGGAACTAAAGAAATCTATGCTAATAAGAATATTAAAAAATTAAATGATGGTGCTACTCATAAACTCAGGATTACATATACCTCATATGTAAGTTAATTAAATTAAATAAAATTGAGATATTTTAAATAAAATAAAATCGTAGGATGTACAAATTGAAATAGACGATTGTAAAAGCCAGTGCACTACTTGGGAACAAATGGAGGAGAAAGGATTATTAAACGTTAACGGACCTTTGCAGTTAGGAGGGACGAAGTTCAGATTTACTGAGGAAGAATCTAAACAAATTTGGAATCACCTTCCACCTACTCACCTTGGATTTTCTGGTTGTATCAGAAATTTAACATATAATGGATTTTATTACAATCTTGGAGCACCCTCCGATGAGTACAAGTCTTACCCGGGTTGTAACTATGGGGTAATGCAAGCTGTTACTTTTGGAATTGATTCAAACTTCTTAGTTGCAATTTTGGTGTGTGTTGCCATTTTAATAAGTGAGTAATTTATTTTAGCAAGTTGAATTTTATACTACACATATATTTTTGTTTCAGTATTGCTGTTGGCCGTAGTTGTTCACAGACGTAAACAAGATAACTTAAATGAAAAAGATATAGATGACACTCGTGAGAACATAATAGATTATGAAGATGAAGGTGGTGGAGAATGTGATGCTAATTACGACTTATCGGTGTTCCGAGCAAATAATATGATTGATGAAAAACCAATTATGAGAGAAAATCCAGATGTGCCAGCTGACATAAGTAGTTTCTTAGACACAAAGAAAGATGTGTGTGATAAAGATCCTGACAATTTACCATATGACGATGTTCGCCATTATGCATATGAAGGTGACGGAAACAGCACTGGTTCTTTATCTTCCCTGGCATCCTGCACTGATGAAGGAGATTTGAAGTTTAATTATTTGTCTAATTTCGGTCCGAGATTCCGTAAGTTAGCCGATATGTATGGGGAAGATCCCAGTGACGAAGACTCTCATGATGGAGGTGAGGAATCCTGGTGCTAGATTGTTGCATGTTCATAGAAAACAATTATTTTCTATTGTACTTAATCAATTACTGTGTTTGACCAAAGATAAATAATATTTTTGGATAGAACTGACAAGTCTTGTAAATATATATTTTTGATTTCAATTTAATGTAGACTGAGACATAGCAAATGCTATTAGCATTTTTGTGACCACAGACGGTGTAGAGTGTAGGTTTTTCTATATATAGTATTTATTATTAAGGTGAAAGCGATATTTCCACCTAATAAGCTCGTGATAAACACTGTTTCGATCATTTGAATGAAAACCAGGCCCTCGGGCACCAGAAATAAAAAAAATGAACACTTCCAAGATGGTGTCTAGATGGCAATTTCACTGTGATTTTAATATGTAAGGTAGAGTAGGTATCACGTTATTTATAATTTGTTTTTACGTAATAATTAGAAATGCAATTTTTTCAAAAAAGACTATAAAAACCACGTATAATAGTTACAAAATATTTTGAACTAATTTTCTGGAAGTGTACATTTTTTTTTAGGAAAAATAAATATTTTTGCTTTTAATGTAACCCTGATTTTCATACAAAAGTATGAATTCCTTAACAGTGATATTTGAGCTATAAAAGGAAGTGCAAGTAGGTTTCACATGGCCTTAATACTGTGTTTGAATAAGCCTTGTCAAAAAAGGCATATATAAATATATCACCTAATTTTTGTATTATAAAGAATGTGTATGTAAATTATTGACATCTACAATATTATATAAATATTTGAAATGTCTTGACTTAATAACCTTTTATGCTATTATTCTGTGACATGGTGTTTTTCTATAATTTATTTTCTACTATTTGTTAATTTTTTTTTAATATAAAATAGGTTAGGTGTATGTAATCAATATATTTTTCATATACAGTGAAAATAATACGTATAATCAAAATTAAATTAGGTTTAACATAAGTAAAGGAAACGGTTTGTATCAGATCTACAACATCATATTGCATGAAACCTTTTTCATCCGATTATAAAATATAATAATACTTGTATTAATGCTTATGTTGGATAATTTTACCGGACATGTCAAAAATTGGACATTAAAATATATTTATTAAGAGTGGAATATACAAATTTAGTTTTTGGTTTATGGATTGCATTTGGGCTTTTTCTTTATTATTTTCTAAAATCATTTGGTCTAATAGAATTTTTCTTTCCCATAAGCGTGGATATTAACATTAGCGGAAACTATAATTAAAAAAAAACTAGTGTGCAACGAAAATTAAGTTATTCAATTCGACAGTCACATTACTAGTTAATTTAATGATATATGTGGTTTAAGAACTACCGGTTGTCATGCTACTTGCCAATATGTATGTATTCGAGAAATAGCTTTCAATGCTTCTTAAAGCGTTATAGGATAAAGGGAAGTACTCCTGTATATAGATACTAAATTTATTTTACGTGTTTTAAAGATCTTTCATATATCTAGTTCAACATAAGTAGAACCATGACAAATTATAATATTTCATAATCAACAGCTCATTTCATCCTGTTCGATGAAAATAACAGAGCAATATTCATTTGTGACTAATTTTTGTGACAATATTAGTGCTCAAAGTGACTGAATTTAAAAAATGCATTTCAGAGGTCTTAATTTTTATAAAATATGTCATAAGTAACTATTAGAGCTGTTAACACAGGATGCAAAATAGTTTTGGCACAAACTTTACAGACAAAATTAAAAGATCATAAAGTGCAGTCAATGAGACTAGTACCTATATTTATTTTTTACTTTTTGCCTTTTTGGCAATTACTAATTCAGTTATCTATAAATTTAGTTAATTAATAATATTTAGTGTGCTTTATATCCTCATTGAAAGTATTTTATGATGCATTTAACAATATTTAGTTTCTTTCAATCTTAGATAAGTCAATTAGTTTATTGGTTATACTGAAATGCCAATTATTTTTATATAAATCATTGTGTATGTTAAGAACAATTAGTATTTTAATTTTATACAGAGTACAGCATTTATATTTTTAAGTTAGATTATGAACATTCCTTTATTACTTTTGTGATTTTTGGCAGCCATTGATAATTTTTTGTTTTATATATTTTGATCTCATTTGGAGAAATTGTAGTTAAATTTTCATATATTGTTTATAATCTTCATTCCATTGTTAAATAAAATATCATGTTTTTAAAGAATTTGAAAATCTGAAAACTTTACAACTGGATTTTCAAATTTTTTGAGTTGTGCAGTAAATAATCACTTTTATAATTGTATTTTAATAAACAAGTATTACTATATTGATGTTCAAGTGAATTATGTTTTTATTTTCGTATGATACTTCCGTAGCAGTAATGTTTATTTTAAAATGTGCCTTTACTAAGCAAGCTTAGTACTATAGAGTTAGAAATTTGCTCACTGCCATTTATAAAAATGTATAACCTCTATTTTACAATAAAATATATAATGCGTATACTGTTTTTTCAACCTACAATAAATTTATAAGTTCAATGCAAAAATGTACATGGACTAAGTTAAATTAAGGGCAATACAAAAACAGTAACTTATATCTTGTATTATAACTAATAAACACCTGTATTTTGTATCTTCATCAATTTTTTTTACAGCCTTTTTTAACTAGAAAATAATTAACAAGATATTTTTAACATAGAAATCAGTTTGTAATGAAAAAAAAAAAATGGTTTCAATTTTCACCTTGCATTAAAAAAAAATCAGGCAAAACCTATCGATATTTTATACAATATACAAACAATCTCGGTCTCAAAAAATATAGTATAGTCATACAATAATTTTAAACCAGGTCATAGAAGTCTAAAGTTGCGTGCTAGATGTTGAGCAATTAAGCCTTTGAGACGAACAAATCCTATTTGATGAAATTCAGAAATAATGAAAACGGTGAAATAAGACGATCTAGTGTTTACTTGAACAAATATTTCTTAAAAGTAAAGTTTCTGCGGATTCTCTCAAAACAAATAAATATGTAATCTATATACTCGTATCTTAAAAAAATATAGGTATACATGATAAAAACAATATTTTACTATTATTTGTAATACATTCAGACTATACATTGCATAATAGTTGTCACAAAAAAAGTATTTCATTCAAGTAGTTCATTTTCGAATTATATATGTAGTTTATTCTATTGCTTTTAGTCTGCACAAAATATGTACCCACAATTATACTTTTTAATTTGGTTAATAATGTGATAATATATAAAATAATATGGGTTTGTCAATGTTCCGTTCGAAAATAGTTACACTTATAAGGTACTTCCTTAAAATCGGAAGACAGCTGTTAGTAATCCATCTGATCTCAGATCGTTTCCGATCTGCAGTGTAGACAAAGAGTGAAGAAATGAAGACACCGTGTTAAAAAAAGTGAGCCTTTTCTTGGATCACATAAACGTGGAGCTGATGGCTGATGTCAGTAAGAGTAAGTAGAGTATGAAAAAGACGCGCGACGTTGTAAGAACTGCGCGGTCGAAATTATAGAGTGTGACTCATCGCTAGCTTTTGGACTAATAAGGAGGATGAAGCGTGCGGGGAACGAAAAGATATAGAGAATATGGAAAAAAGATAATAAAACAAGATCTAATATTTTTTATGGTTTGCTACAACCGGCACTTTGATTCATTTTAATTATTACAGCGTTTTAAAACGTTCCGGTTGTGTTTTTTTAAATTTATAAATTTATTATAGCCATGGAATTAGACCCCTCGTCTACGCTTATGCTATGACGTTTCTCAGGTCGGGCAAATCAAGTCCGTTTACACTCACTAAAAAAGCATTTCCCTATTCCCTACCAAGTGCAAAAGACAGAGATAAAATATAGATCGACGTTCAGTGTAACTCAGTCTATACACGATTATAGATTCTACCGATGTGCATGGCGAGTGGCACAAAGATAAATAATATTGAACCGTATAGAAATCATTTTATATTTTATACGCATTATGGTAATAGTGTTTTTATATTATGTATTAGTCACTCTTTATAATTTCGGCTGCCGAGTATAGTTTCATTTTTTATCTCGCTTTAACTGACTGTGCAGAGATCACGCGTAAGTAGGGGAACCTCAAAAGCTGAAAGCTAAGCTGGGCTTGTTGGTGGACTAGGGGCTGGGCTGGTTATTGCGCATAGATCACGCGTCTCTTTACTAGACTTTTAGAGCAGTGGGGATGCGGTCCACAAAAGAGGGGGAATGATTTTACTGTTTTCTATACTATGGTCAAGAGCTTGGATTATATAATCAAAATATAGTAGAAAAGAAACAAAATTCATTCAATTTCCATGGTTCTAAAACCTGATTTTGAGTAATGTTGAGCGAGTTGCAAGGATATAAACATCAACCTTGAACGTCAATCAACAATGTTTACTATCTAAAAGGGTCATACCAAAAGAATACCTACTTGTTTGCTTATGTTTGTCCATGGTTTCGTGGTGTATTTCCACCTTTACAAAATTGTATCACGGTATCACAAAAGCAAAACAGGAAAGTATAAGGATATACACTTTTTGATGCAAAAGATTTATGATGATGTACAAAATTGTGAGAGTTTCCAGATGCGAGAGTCAGTTTCTTGAACAAAGGGTATGGTATGTACCTATGTGAAAACATGGTTTCAGAAATACCAAGAATATATGGCCAAAAGCAAACAGTGGCCTAAAGTGATTCAATCAGACTGTCTTACACTAAACGCCTCAATTATCTAAATTAATAAATAATATACTTATTTTTGTTTAAATTTGTATACTTATTAAAACTGTAAAAACTAAGAACGAATGACCAGTAATAATAATGTAATTTTTTAAAATTGCATAATGCAGCAAGAATTAGGGGTGGCCGTGGTTGCCACAACGCCTATGTCCATATTGTCATAAAAAAAAAAACGTTAATTTTTCTAATAGCAATATCTATATGGAAATACATCAAAACTAATGATAGTTTTATATTCCTCACTGACTTATTGTTGGTTTTCAAAATATTTATTTACCATATACTTTTTTATGTATAGGTATCTCCAAAATTGATTAAAATATGTAGGTATGTATTAGAAACGTTTTTCAGAAAAAAGGAGGCAACAATGTTATAAATTTAGTAAACATGATTTCCCCACTCCTATATATGTTAAAATCTTGAAGATAATATTTGTTCATACAGTTACATATGGCGTGTTCTGAAAAGTAAAAAAAAAATTTAAATTACTATATAAACGGTCATTATTTTATGCTAGTTTTATTACATCATATATTATATAGAGCAGGAAGGGTAGTTTTGACTGACTAGTTAAGAAAAAAACCATTGATGTATTTGGGATTGCAGTCAATAGTGCTAAGAGCTAGTACAATAAGAACACTTTGTGTTGTTGTCAAACTTTCGGAAATGTTTATTTCTTTTCTCAAGACATAAACGTGAAATTAAATCCATCAAAAAAGAGAAATACAGAACCATTGTTAAAATTTACACACATAGGTACAATTAATTTTAAAAAACAATTGTAACTACCTACCGTACATTTTTAAAAACAAATTTTCGAGTCAATATACTGAAAAGGACTTTTCACAGGCAATGCTCGTGTCACAGCTCGTGTTGACTGCAATCCCAAATACATCATTGATCATTGGTTTTATATATATCTATATATACCTATATATGAAATATTGTTCTATTTCAAATTAAAAAATTAATTTCATCTCACAAATAACGTTTGTGTTGATATTCCTGTGTCCATGCTACTCATAATAAATATATTACTTCTCTAAATATAAAAATCTGATTCGTTCTTGTATTCTTTACAAATCGTTCTTCATTAGATTTTCTCTGTAAACACAAAATCAATTTATATTAGGGCAAATAATTCTACGTCTACCTACAACATTTGTTCATTACTTAGATATCTTTCCAACTCGATGAACTCATCTTATATTTATGTACTAAACCCAAAACTTTCTAACAACGAAACTTTGTATTTAAAATGTATGTAAATTTGTTTGCTGGTTTAAACTCAATAGTTACTTAATACCTACAGTTTTATTAAAAAGTATATCGACATTAAACTCTACACTTTGCTAATTAGAATCAGTGAAATGTAGAATAATTTATCGACTTGAGTCCCATATGGGAATATGCATGGATATTATGATTCATCCATACTAATACAGAATAAACAGATTATTAAATACGTAAATTTTGTTTGTTTTCAGACTTCACGCAGTCACTGTTCAAATGATGGCATTCAGTATTAGCATATTGCATATTTCAGTTTATTTCGGAAATGGATAGGTAACCATTGAAGTTTCTGATCATGAGTTTTATTCGCAAATCAAGAAATCTTTATAAATCAGTTAATAAACCTTTTATAAGTTAAATGTTAATACCTAATTTTTACTAAGGCATTTTTAGTCATCTTTATGATTCTTATTCTGCCGAATTTAAATGAAGTTACTCAGAGTATACTCCTATTAGACTACTAAACTTTTACACGGTATTGGTTAAAATTAATACAAATTGTCCAAATGACCTAGGACCTAATTCTGGATTCTTTTCAGTTTGCAGATGACTGACCACATTTTTTTGATATCTTCTAAATTAGTTGGAGTGGAGTGTCAGTACCCCTTGGCATTAACAAGGCACAGGTGATTCAAATTTATATAGGATCACAAAAAAATACTTGTCCCACTTTTTCATAGTAATATACATTTCCATATTTTAAAAATTTAGCTCTGGAATTTTAAATTACCTATAATTCCCCCCCTCTAGCCCATTGGCTGCCGACACCCTTGTAAGGTGGTAGTGGTTATTAAAATATTTTTCTAAAAATGGCGAATGAAAATGGGAATTCAAGTAGAGTGGTTCTACTCGTATGTAATTTGCTAAAATGTATGTATTATGATTTTACACATTTAAGTAGGAGAAAATTTGCGAAACGAAAAAAATTAAAAATAAATGTCAGCTCATTAAAATGATAATAAGGAAACATAGATTTTACATATTAAGGACCGACTCGTGAATTTTTGCAGTATAGCTTAGTCCTTTTTTTTGGGGGTGCGCCACTGAATTAATAGATGTTATTAATAACTTAAGAAACAGTAATTCCACTAGGCACGATAATGTTTCGGTAAAAATAGTAAAAAAAAGTGCGTATCTAATTGGTGACGTTTTATGTGAAATTATTAATGAATGTTTGAAAAATGGTATTTTTCCAGATATGTTAAAAGATTTCAAAAATAATATGTCTATATAAAAAAGGTGATCCTAAGTAAATTTCAAATTATAGACCTATTCGTTATTGTCCATTTTTTCTAAATTATTGAAAAATTACTGCCGCATAGAATAACAAGAGTTTCTAGAACAAAACAAGCTTTTCTCTCCAAATCAACAGGGTTTTAAGAAAAATCATTCAACTACAACTGCCTTATTAAGTTTTCTGAATTATGTTTATAATCAGTTAGATAAAGGACAAAAAATAATTGCGTTATTCATGGACCTTTCAAAGGCGTTCGATTATGTGAATCACGAATTGCTTTTAACTAAACTAAGTTATGGTTTACGAGGAAAATGTAATAATTTACTAAGATCATATCTTAGCATGAGAAAACAATATGTAGATTTTTATGATTAACTTGAAACTGATATAGGAGTACCACAAGGAAGCGTTTTGGGCCCTTTATTGTATATTAATAAGATAGAAAGATCATTAAATATTTTCCACTGTGCCTTTGATGACGATATTACAATCGTATCAAGTGCTGAATGCTTGACGGATACCATAGGTAAGTTAAACTCTAATATATCATCTGTTTTGTATTATTTTGAGAAAAATAATTTGGTTATAAATGCTGATAAAACCTTTTTTATACAGTTTTATACAGTTGAACGTGATTATATATCTAGTCCACTCTTAAAAATTAAAAATCAATCTGTTAAACAGGTAACTGAATTTAAACTGTTAGGTGTATTTGTTGATCACGCCCTAAAGTGGCAAGCTCATGTAAATAAGGTTTGCGGTAAATGTGCATCTAGTTGTTATGCTTTAAATCACTTAAATAATACTGTTAAAACTTTATATTTTTCAAATTTTGAAAGTCACCTCAGATATGGTCTAGTCTTTTGGGGAAATTCTTATCTTGCAAGTAGAGTTTTCATTCTTCAAAAAGAGCTATTTTTGGACTAAAATATAGAGCATCTTGTAAACCAACATTTATAAACGAAAATATATTAATGCTACCATGCCTTTATATTTTCGAAACTTTAATGTTTGTTAAAAGAAATTTGTCTGAATTTGTTTTTCAAAATTTTTATCATGAATATCCTACACGACATGGGTTTCATTTGAGACACCCAGTGCATAAGCTCGAATTATATAAATCGAATCCTTATTATATGAGCACCGTTATATACAATAAACTTAATTTCTCTATAAAAAATATCGTTAGTTTCGAAGCTTTTTCTAAGGCAGTAAAGGAGTTCTCAATTAAACAGGGTTTTTATTCTATTTTACTCTATTGATGAATATTTGAACTATGATTAACATGTTTTGTTTGTCTTTTCTTTTTTCTATGTAAATTTTATATGTTCTTTTTGACTTGTCCTATATATGATCTTTTGGATTAATAAATACTTAATTACTGGTACTTACTGAAGCCAACAAATATTTTTCTAATTGTAATTAGATTTATTTATATTTTTGAGCAACCGCTGTTATCTAGTTCTCACACAAAGGTGAGCACCCATCTGTAGTCTTAATGTGTAAGAAAGATATATACTTCTTTTATGTTGATTTTTATTGTTCCTTTCTCAGGATTATTTGATTATTGCCACCCTTTCCCTTTGCATCCCTACAGTTTCAAGTATCGCGAAATTTTCTAAAAATATAAAGTTTTAATGTAGGCTTTTCGCAGACTATAAAAACAGAAAAGTTTCTTTAAGGACCTTTAAATAGGTACTTTTAGAAACTCTCTTACAACAATAATTTTTCCCTAATTAAGAATTGATCAATAATGCTGAAATACGTAAGTAAGATTTAATTAAAGCAAGTAGCATAAATTAAAAGGCTTCACCAAACACGTTAATGGACACTTGTTATGGTAAACGATTGACTTTAAGGAAATAAGAAGTTTTTAGTGTTTCCTTAAGCGGAAATGGTCAATCTTAAAGTTTGCTGTATGCTACGAACTTAACATTGTTGCTATATTTACCGAAGGGTTTCTTCAATCAAACTGATTGGAGGGGGTTGGAAGTTCGTACAATTATCCCCAACCACCCCAGAGTATAAAAGTTACGCCAGATTTCTGAAGAGTACATTCGATCAAACAACTTGCAGTGAAACAGTTAACCAGAAATTTTCATCTGAATCATGTACCGTGTCATTTTAATCATAGTTTTTATTTCTTTTATTGGATTTTGCACTGCTCAAGTTAATTTTTCTCCTAATTGGGGGAAAAGGGCTCTTAATCCAGGCTCCGAAGAAAATGAAAATAACTGCAGAGAAAATGTGGATACACTAATGCTGATTTACAAAATTATACAGGTATTTATATTTTATTTTTGTGGAAGTTAATTTTTATATTTCGCAGTTTTATCATCAATTAGGAGCTAAATAATTCAGTGTATAAATGTATTTTAATCTTTTATTGAATATTGTTATTCTTTACTAAAGTAATTGATGATTTAGGTACCTACATAGTTTGTTAAATAAAATGTACAGATACTTCTCTATATATTTTAGATAGATATTTTAATATTTTCTGTTATTATGTACATACATCCAGTATTAAAATTATTTTACCAGTTTTAGAACCAGCTTTAGAACCAGCTTTATTTAAATATTGTATACCTAGTGTTAATTTTTTCGTTCCATAATTTTTAACATATTTTTTTGTTTTCAGAATGAAGCTCAGAAACTCATGGATTGTGAAAAGTTTTCAAACTAATTATTAATACTATATATAGTTATTTTGTGCCCAATGTGAAGATTTATTTGCAAGAAAAAATAAACGATTCTAATTAAGTTTATTGCGTTTTTCTCAAAAAAGGCTAATTTAACTCCTAAAATACTAAAATATAAATATAAATATATTGAAATTAATATGTGACGTTTTTAAAATACACTTGAAACTATTGTCAGCTTATAAAAATCAGATGACGGTTATAGAAATTATTTAATTGTTCAATTAATAAACAAGCGGAATTTATTATTATATTAAATTTATTATTCAAAGCTAGCCCCAAACATTTATTATTTATTTTTATATATTCATTTATCATTATTTTGTTAAAGTAGATATAATGACTTTACAAACAAAAATGAATGTTATTCATAGCTTATATTTCGTGGACCCTTAAGGTGATCTTTCGCCATTAGTAGTTCAATGTTACTAATGTTTTATTCATGAAATCTTAGTAGGCTCATTATTTTCTAACTTTAAAATAAATTATTTCAGTTTGCCCTAGCCAATTTCAGTGTCTAACAATATACCATCTACATATATATATATATATAACCAAATTTCTTTCTTAGACGGGGATGCAGCCAAGGATAAAAAAAGTTACACTCTTTTAAATTTTCAAGCTTTCGAAACTATATTTTGTTTCTTCATCAGGAAAAAATATGCGAGAATTACACTGAAGTTACCAACATAATAGGTACACCTACAGCGGACATAGGTCGTCAATACAAATAATTAAAAACATCACAGGTTTAAAAACGGAAAATTGTACAAATATCAAAATTTTTAAAATTCATAACTACGGTAGACTAGAGCCGAAATCAAACAAAATGAAACAATGTCGCCTGTCTTTTAGGTGACCGTCTAAGAAAGAAATTTGGTTTTTAACTTAGACAGACGTCTAATTTTTTGGCTATATATATATATATATATATACAGGGTGTCCCNAGCAACTACTACTGGGGGCAGCGTCCCAGTGGCCGAGAGTGTAGCGGAGGTTGTAGAGAAAGAGAGGTATAGAAAGGTATATGCTATCTCTCTCTAGCAGCAAGCGATTGGCTGCCGTCCTCAACCCCTGAAAACGACAGAACCAATAGCATGCTGCTAGAGAGATATAGCATATACCCTCCTATATCCTCTCTCTCTACAACCTCCGGCCACTGGGATGCTGCTTCCAGTAGTACTAGTATATGCTTTAAGATACTGACCGGTCAGTTAAAGGGTAAATACATAGTACTATTTGTTCATTTTTTCATTCCTGTGTATACTAATTTTTAACATTCTAATACAGAAGAAGAGTACAATTAAGCAAATTCTAGTAATGCAGTGGTTGGTCTTTATTTTGCACATAATAGTAAAACTATTTTCGAAAATGTTTATTTACCTTTTATTTACCAACTTGGGTAAAACAACCAACCTTAACCAGTTGGTTGATTTGGTTGTTCGCGTAAAATAGACCGTTTAATTTTGACGGATGTACGCATGAGGGCGAAGGACGGACGCCGCAAGCCGCAAGCCGCAAATAACTTGGTTCATATCAACTTGTAAATCATGGGTACACGAGTGACTTTTTTGTAATAACGTACATATTAAATAACCAAAATGCTCTCTATAGGGCCAAAAATGGACGGGGGCCCAAATGTGAAATACTTTGAGGCCCCCGAAACACTAACAGCCCTAGAAGGTGTTAAACAGTGGCTTCAGAAAAATGGAAAAAAGGTGAGCAACAGTGTGGTTTCTAAGTAGTGTTCGTGTTGTGAAAATATTTTTTACTATGAACGAGATGCATTTTAAAAATATTGAGTGAAAAGTATCAAACCACGAAAGAAGTTTTCATAAGCATTGTCCTATAACCATAATGTGCATAATTATATATTTGTCATTTCTTGGTGGGATTTACTTTTGAGCTTTATCATAATGATTATACTGTTTCAGTATGTACAGAATGAACCATTAACAAATAAAACGATATCTGCTACCACCATACAGTTAATGCAATTTCAAGAGGATTTTTTGGGTAAAAATGCTCAGAAACCGCCTATGACAAGGATACCCGTAAGTAAGCAGAAATGCATTTTTAAAATAAAATTAGATTCTATTGTCATCAACATAACATACTTATTATAGGTTAAGTATTTTTTGGATTTTAAACCAGGAGGAGGATTATGTCACATATTATTAGCTGCTTACCGTTTTAAGAGTGAACACGGCTGGAGAAGGTTTGAATTGCCATCTGGAAAGGTAAAAACAAAAGCTTTAAAAATTATAATCTACTAAACAGTAACAAGTAACAACTTCATGAAGGGCCAAACTAATAAGATATTTTAAGGTTTGTAGGAAAGTACAAAAAGGTTTTAAGGGTTTTTTGACAACTCAAAGCACATTGAGCATGGTTGGCATGAGTCTTTTTGTATTGGGAGTTAGAGTTTGGCATTTGACAGATCTTGTAAAAATTCATTTGGTTTGGGTTTAGCTGTCTTTAGCTATGTTTAAATTAAATAGTTATGGTCATATGTACAGCCACACTTATTTAAATATCAGTATCAATTAATATTCCTTATTTAAAAAGCGGAATTGTTCAAATCGGCAGACTAACGAGTGAGACATAAAATGATTAGCCAATGACAGAGATATTAATTCAATTCAAACTTGTCTCACAAGTACAGTTCGCTGGTTTGGCAAACTCTGCCAAACTGGATTAACTTCATTTCTAGCGAAAATGTTATACTGCAGTTAACTGTAGTTAACTGTGTTATTGGTTTTCTTCCCAAATACTCGACAAAGTAAACTTGTTAAAAAAATATACATATTTGTAAGATATTCAATTGAATAAATTTAGTAAACATTTGTTGAGATTAATTATTCAAATTGTGATATGAACGTGATTTAATTTTACAGTAAATGTATAAAACGAATTCTTTACAAATATCAAAATATGCATCAAAATATATATTTAATATGAAGATTGCCTTTTATATTTCGGGAATAGATGTCGCCCATAAACTTTTTTATCTTTAACGTTTTTCGGCACCTGAAGCGGTTGATGTGTTCAAAATGCATGTTTTGGAGGTACTTTAATTAGAATGGAAAAAGTGCTTTGAAAATTGGTTCAAGCGCATGCAATAATGTTTTCATGGAGAATATTTTGAAAACAAAGCCATACGTGATGATTAATTTCTTTTTTTTGTTCTTTAATCCTGAAATATAAAAGGCAACCAGAGGCGGCCTTAGAGGGTGGCGAGCAGGGCAATCGCCCGGAGCCTCGTTCTTGCAGGGGCTTCGCACGACAACCCAAGAAAAATTTTTATTTAAAACTATTTTATCCTTAGCTATTAGTTATAGAGGTATATATGACAATAAAATAAAGTTGGTTAATTCATAGTAAATATATTAATACTGAATGAGTAGGTAATAATAGGTGCCTAAATAAAATTTCTCATTTAGATTTATTTAATGATCGATATCAAAATTGATTAATTTATCGTGGATAATAATATTTTTTGTAATTTGACTGTAAACATAATTGAAAAATATGTTTGAATCTCGTACCTTATTTTTATCATTATTAAAAATTTGCCGTCTTTGTATTTGTTAACTTTTAAAAATATCGTAATATAATATTTGAAAACTCAAAATTTATAACTTTTGTATTTCTCTTAAATCATCGGAAATATCTACATTTGAGTTACGTACATTTCACAAAGAGCAAGGGCCTCGCAAAGATCTGTATAGACTCTTTAATCCGAACTAATTAAGACATGGGCTTAAAGAGATACGTTCGAATTACCGATATTTTCGGATTACTAGATAGTAAATATGTTTATGTATATACATACAATATGAATTAGATTTTATGTGTTACTGGGAAGGCAAAAAATAACAATAAAACCAAACATTATCGTAAAATATGGATATACATTTATTAAAAATAAAAAGGAAGACAAACAAAAACAATTTATTTAGAATATCTACTTTTTGCAAAAGGGTTAATGTGTGATGCTTTCATTTTTGCGACATATTTGCATAACAATAATATTTCAACTAGTGATGGGCACTATCGAATGAATTCTACTATCGAATAATTACTAAACGAATGGTATTGACTATCGAATAAAATCATTCATTACTAGTTTTAACCGCCGTTGCTTAGACAACTACGAATGCGTGCTTTCTGACTCCGACTGATATCGAGCGTTATCGATCGCTGCCCAAAGATAAATGCAGCGCTATTATACCATCTTCGCTGTCCCTAATGAAATTAAATATTATAATTAAATATTCAAGTTTTGTTGTTTTTATGTATTATCTATTTATATTAATGTTGAATTATAAAATTTATTTTGAATCGTAAATATTTTTTTCATTCTCAGACGAACGGCCGATAACGATTGTTATGAGTCGGAATATATTAATTCGTTTGTAATTTTGTCTATCGGATGAAATTAGTAATGAATGATATTATTCAAACGATGAACGAATTCATTCAAATTTTAGTTCAATTAAACAAATGTCGGGTTTTAAAATATTAAAGAAACGATATATATCGTTACTGTTTTCATTCTGCTGAATAATACAGTTTGTTTTTATTTGTAATAATATTTATTAAAAAGTAGCAGTGAACGGAGAATTCAGTCTATATCGGTAAACAACGACAGACACGACTACACCACTTCCGCGCATGCCATAAACGTAACTACGATTCATTCGTTCGATTTTTATTTAAATAGTGTGTCGTTAGTCGCTATCGAATAATTTGAATTATCTGCAACTATCGAATAATTCAATAGTTTTTATTCGATATCGCCCATCACTAATTTTAACTAAAAAGATCTAATCGAGAAAGATTCCGAGTCGCATAAAAGGATTTCCTTGAGACTGCCGGGGAATTACGTTTTTAGCGGTTACTTTTTATTATGTAGTCTGACTCTATAATCCGAACTATATAGGTTAAACCGAAATTTGTTCGAATTAAAGAGTTTTGTTCGGACCAGCGAAACGGGCATTCGTTGGGCCGGATTAGTGGATATTCGGATTAAGGCGAGTTCGGATTAAACAGTCTATACTCTATTTTATGTTTTATTGTTTTACAATGTACACTGAAATTCTTCTCATCACTAATTTAATCCAAATATTTCTAGATAAACTTTAAAACTGTTTTCCACATATAAAATGTTTTTAGAATGCATCATCAAAATTAGAAAGAGTGTTTGAAATGTATCAAAGCATGGAGAAAGCTCTCATCAGTGTGAAAATGTACACCCTCCCCATAGTTTATATCAGACCTGATATAGATAAAGTAGTTGTACAAAAATTGAAAGATATAATACGAAGGAGAAATGGTCAAGTTGTTGACACGGAAGAAACGGCAACCCATATAATTTATGGATCAGTAGATCCATTAAAAGAAGAATATGGTAGACCTGTTATTAAAAGAGATAAGATGGTAATGATGCATTGGTATTATTTTCCTAATTCATTTGATACCTGGGTTAATTTAGAAACTGCCGGTTTGGATGGATTGTCAATTGATAGCAATCCAAGCCCTCATTCAGGACCTTGGAGAGTTACGTATACATGGTTATATGATACTGATCAATATAATGAGTGGATGTCTGAAGAAGATTATGAAGTCGATGAAAGTGGAAATAAAAAAGTACATCCTAAACTTATGTCTGTTGAGGACTTGATGAATCCATCAGAGGATAGAAATAAGTAAGTGCTAATATATTTTTTTTTTATTTCAGTAGGTTACCTAAATATTTACTTGCAGAAAAAATAAGAGTGGCAAACGAAAAAGATCACCATCTCCTCCTTCTAAGGTAGGAAAAAGGAAAAGTGGGAGAAGTCCAGCTGTTGGGAAGAAAACCAAACCAGATGATCCAGAATCTGAAGATTTAACAAAAGATATGGAGGAACCCACTCCAGAACCAAATGTCGTAGAGGTAAATCCAACAGCTCCAAATCAGCAACTAACTAAAAAAGACCATGAACTACAACCTTTAAAAGGAGGTTCAATAACAGATTTGGAAGAAGCTGAAGAAAGGGGAGAAGATTCCCAAACTGGTAAAAATAGTGACAGTAATACACAGGATGATGGCCAGGAAGATAATGTAACAGAGCAAACACATCATATTATAATCCCATCTTATTCTGCTTGGTTTGATTATAATTCTATCCATGAGGTAGAAAAACGAGCGCTGCCAGAATTTTTCAACGGTCGAAACAAATCTAAAACACCAGAAATATATTTAGCCTATAGGTAAAGTACTTTGTAAATTTATCTTATTGTTATTTTTCAGAGTATGTTTTGTTTTTAGAAATTTTATGGTAGACACGTACAGGTTAAACCCCACAGAATATATTACAAGTACAGCTTGTAGACGAAATTTAGCTGGTGATGTGTGTGCTATTATGAGGGTACATGCTTTTTTGGAACAGTGGGGTTTAATAAATTATCAAGTAGATACAGATTCAAGGCCAACAGCAATGGGTCCTCCTCCAACGTCGCATTTCCATATCTTGTCTGACACCCCATCTGGTTTGCAACCAGTAAATCCACCAAAAACACCACAACCGAGTGCAGCAAAGACATTACTTGATTTAGATAAGGCACAAGAGACCAAAAAAGTTGAAAGTGGTTCTACGGAAATATCAAGTTTTGGATTAAAACTTGACCAATATGCTAAAAAACCTGCTGTTTTAAGAAATAAAAGTGCAGCTTCTCTGACTAGAGATTGGACGGAGCAAGAAACATTACTTCTACTGGAAGGATTGGAGATGTATAAAGATGATTGGAACAAAGTGTGTGAACATGTTGGTTCACGGACTCAAGATGAATGTATATTACATTTCCTTAGGTTGCCAATAGAAGATCCTTATTTAGAAGATCCAGAAGCAGGCGGTGCTCTAGGACCATTGGCTTACCAACCAATACCATTTAGTAAAGCTGGAAATCCGATAATGTCTACTGTAGCATTTTTAGCATCCATCGTAGATCCAAGAGTGGCAGCAGCAGCAGCGAAGTCTGCAATGAATGAATTTGCTAGTATTAAAGATGAAGTTCCAGCGGCAGTTATGGATGCTCATCTGAAGAATGTGGAAGCTTCATCAGCTGAAGGTAAATATGATCCAGCAGCAAACCTTGCTTTGACAGGAATTGCAGGAACTGTACCTGATAAGGAAGAAGAAGATAAGGTTAAAAAAGAAGATGTTAAAGAAGATGAAAAGGCTCCCGAAGAACATAAGAAAAATGGAGAAGGCCAAGAAGAAAAATTAAATGAAAAAGTAAAATCTGAAGCTTCCGATAGTGAAAAAGATGAAAAAATGGACACTGAAGTGAAAATAGAGAAAGTGGTCAAAGATAGTGAAATGCAAAGTGCTGCAGCTGCAGCGTTAGCAGCTGCTGCTGTCAAGGCTAAGCATTTGGCTGCAGTTGAAGAAAGAAAAATTAAATCATTGGTTGCACTTTTAGTAGAAACGCAAATGAAGAAACTTGAAATTAAATTACGTCATTTTGAAGAACTTGAAACCACAATGGAAAGAGAACGTGAGGGTCTTGAATATCAGCGTCAGCAACTTATTACTGAAAGACAACAATTTCATTTAGAGCAATTGAAAGCGGCAGAATTTAGAGCCAGACAACAAGCACATCAACGATTGCAAGCCGAACAGGGACAGTGGTCCACACAGCAGACACCTATATCTCATTCTGCACCTTCTACAGACACTGGCCCCAGCACTACTCCCACACCTCCTTCACCACAAGCCGCGGCAGTTGCATCACCGCAGGCACCTCCACATCATCATATTTAAAGAAATTTAAAAAACATGGTCCATCCACAAATTGACTCGATTACTTTGAATTAGATCATATAATTATTACTCTTCCTATTTTCCACACTAAATTTATTTTGAATCACTTTTTAGTATATTATAGTATATACTAAAATTTTTTGGAGAATGATTACAGGACTCACTCTAAATATTCATAAAATTTGATTACAGTTCTATATATTTTACTCTTCTTAAAAAATTGTGATTATGGGATTTGATGAAAATGAGGTTGTTCTAGAATTACAAATTTTCTAGAAAAAATTGATTTAACTATTCTGCACATTGGGTATGATTAGAAGTATATTAAGAAAAATAAACTGATAAATTGACACTGCAACATAATTGTGTAAGAAACATATAATTTTTTTAACTGTTATTTGCTTTATATTTATAACTTATATTATGGTTTTAATTTTATATAATGGACACTGAATATTTTGCTAGGTATCAAATTTATTATTATTATTTTTTGTATCTTTGGATTTGAATGGTATGAGAGCATTCTAAGGATTATTTGAATTATATAGATATTCCAGTATTTGTTCTCATTTTTTTCTTTACAACTCTCATAATCATGATTACCGAAAAAATAATTTTGTATAATGTAATTTTGTATTTTTTTATTGTATTTTTTTCAGAAGTTTATGTATATAATTCTATTGTGTTTTATATTTACATTAATTCTTTAATTGCAGAAATATTGTCTTTATTTAATCATTTTGCTATTAATTTACCGTATCTGTTCCAATATAGAACAGGGTCGGAAAGTCCCCATGGTTCATCGGCCGTTACGTGAGAGCGATAAAGAAAGTCATAGAAATTCGTGCGATAGAGAAAGATGGCTATAATGAAGGCGTCTAATAGTCAGTGCCCATTTCGCCCTTCCACAAATAAGATCCACTTCTTATTTGTGGAAAGGCGAAATGGGCGGTGACTATTAGACGCCTTCATTATAGCCATCTTTCTCTATCGCACGGATTTCTATGACTTAGTTTATCGCTCTCACGTAACGGCCGATGAACCATGGGGACTTTCCGACCCTGTATAAACACTTGGTTCTACTACAGATAGTTGAAGAGTGTATACTTAATTAAGTTTTAGTGGAAATTTATCTTTAGTCTTCAATTAAATGCCACTGTAAATTTTAGTCGTAGCATTTTATCATGTAGGTATTTAATTATGAAGGAAGCAGTATCAAAATATAAATTATTTTATATTATAATTGTCATATTAAATATATTTATTATTTATAGTTCTTGATTTAGATTCAATAACCAATACAGATGCTTACGGTGCAGATGATTTCTGTAGAATAAAAATTTTCTATAAGTAATACTATTAAGTAAAGTGGTGTTCTAATACTGTAGAAATAAAAAATTTTATAGTACACAGTTTTTCATTTATAGTATGTTTGATGCAGCTATTAATTTTTTTATTTTAATTTAATTTTAAATATTTTAAGTAGCTCAAGGAAAAATATTCTACTGTATTTAACAGAAAAATGAAATTAGAATTGTAGTGTAACATCAGGTGCTAGGTATATCGTAGTGAAATTAAATTTGAATTATGCTATTTATATTACTACTTCTGTCTACATAAGTCACGGGTTTTATAAAATCTAGATCGCCAATTTGTAATATAATTTTGTCCACTTCTAGGAGGCCGCCTTTCTGTGGTAAAATTCTATTGGTTACCTTTGATCCAATAATATGAGTATATTGCAAGGAATTTTAAAACAAATTACTAATAGTTGTAATTGGAACTAAATGTTTTTAATATGCCTCTAAAATAATTTATTGAACACTAAAATGTGTTGTTTGTATATTAGCAGGAATTTTAGTTCAATATGTGGACCACTTTTTATATTTGTAAAAGATAACAAGGTACAAAACAGTATGAGTGACACAAGTAGCGATATATACGTGCTGCATGTTTTGCACATAAATAAACAATAATCAACTATAATTATGGTTTTGTGCGATATTTTTGTTAATTTTAACAGGTAGGTATACACCACGTCTAAGATACCTAGAACTGCGCACAGTATAATGGCAATGAGAAGAAATTTGTCCTAACAAGTTTGCCCCGAAGCAATATAAATTTTTTCGTGATGAAGGGATTATTGTGAATGATTTTGGGATTTAGTGATGAACCTGCGGGAAATAAATGTTGTCGTTTAGGAACGGACTTGTTTAAGACAAATTTCTTCCGTCCATCAATATCTATTACCTGTCCGGTTTAATTTAATAAATACATGACTTAAGAACTTATGGTGTACATTTTTTTATTAGGAGAATTGAGGAATTATAAATTAGATTTTATCATTTAAATAGTAATGTCATAGAGTAAAGTTTTCGAATGTGCATTAAAGCCTTACGTTAGTGGGCTAGTAATTTGATGACCTCATGTTACCATGCCCTAATAATATGCTTAGTTAATAAAATACAGCTTTAGTAGTATTTTGGCCATATTCATTTAGCTCTTGATTATAAGAAAAGCTACATGCCTATTGTACTTTGTCTAGAGACTAGGGGCATATTTATTAGGATGCTAAATGCATATAATTAAAAAAAAATACAGCTTAAAAATCGTTTGATTTAAGTTTTTTATTGATTTGAACATATTTGCCTTCGTAAGATGATACAGGAACGTACTGATGATACTAGAACGTACTCTTGTACACAGAAGACGATCTTAGATCAAAAATATACGAAGAAGAAGAAGCAGCATAATTATGATTATGTGATGTGTTTAGGTTGTTGTTTACTTTCAATGTTTAGTGGTATTTGTCATTTCAATTCAAATTAAAGTTGGGCGTGCCGTTGTAAACAGGTAACGAAAAATGAGGGTTCTATTTTATTTTGCTTATTTTAATTAATTTCAGAATTACAGAATTAATCTAATCATGGTTTTATTAAATTCATGCTGGTCTCCATGTATTTGGACAGACAAGTTAAAAACTGGCTGTGTAGCTATTGCTTATTACACAGTAGCTATGAGTATTGTATTAATGACATTTATTGTATTTGACATGAGAGGAGGTGATTCTACACAACTATATAATCCTTTATTTGAAGCAGATGTAAGATACTGTAAGTATTAGTATATTATTGTGTCACTGTTTGTTTGGTTATATTTTTACTGTAATCTCATTAAATTTGAATATTAAAAGTTTTGGCTATGCTTTTGTAATGTATGTATTGTTTTTCATAGCGATGCAAGTTGTTGGAGTGTTGCTTATTGTGTATTTCATTGCCTTAATCTGTTCAGCGATATGGTTAGTTGTGGGCATAAATAAGTTTATTAGAGGCTTTATGGTCCCATGGATGGTATTCTTTGGAATAGCCATAATGTTTCAGTTATGTTTTGGACTGTGGCTTCTTGGTGGCTATTATATTTATGTAAGTAATATAAAAAATGTCAAAGATTTTAATTGTGCAGTTGCTCCCATTTATTGAAAACTCCACATATCTAATTAATTTTATTTTCCCATAAATTAGGGGGCTAGTAAAATTAATAAATTAATCGTAATCAGTTAGTACTAAATTATTGTTTTCTAGCCATCAGATAGTTATACATAATTTCAGTCATTAAATTTTTCAGCTTCATGTGAAAACATACATCATACAGATTTAGCTTATTGCCACTCAGAAAAAAAGAATTTTATAAAGTACAAGTGTCTATAAGCCATCTGCGTCTATGTATAGGGTTGCCATATATCATATATAAAAAGTCTGAAAAAGTAAAATGAAAATATAATGGGAAACATTGCCAAGTAATAACGTGAAAAATATACATACTTATGACTAAAGTGCATCTTTTAATACTAAGAGCAAAGTTTTGATCAAGGGATTAAAACTTTGGTCCCGAGATATATACCTACACTATTTTGTGTACTGTGTGTCCAGAAATAATCAGAATTAATTGTTAATGTCAAAAAAAGATGTCATGACAATGTTTTTTTACAATTGTCAGATTACTTTGGCAAATAGGTAAAAATGATACTTTATTTTCTGAGATTGTGGACTGAAAAGGTACGTTCAATCAACGAAGTGCAACATTTCAAAAATTATTGATACGACGCACTATTTTATAAATATATGGTTTAATATTTTATTTTTCCTCCCAATTTTAAGTGAATTGTAGGTTGTATATCGATATTTATGAGTTTTGTTTTAAATATCTAACCTGCACTGTCCCATATCTCTGTTTAAAAATTATAGCTACTCTATACAAGATTATTTACCAACAGTTATTTTAATTTTTTTTATAGCTTGAATCCGTCTTGTACACTTTTGTGATATGGTGTTGGATGGCATATAATGTGAGTATTTCATATTAATGAATCAACAAATATTAATAAATATATGGTTACAGATTTACCTGTGGTTGGTAGTTTACTCCCAGTATAAAGTGATTGAAGATATGCAATCCCCTAATATTGAACTGCTGTGGCCTTAACTGTGAATTTTACTTTTTAACTTGTTTATAGTCCGTCCATTTTTACATTTTTTTCATGAATGTAACATAAAAGCATGTTACTTGTATTTTATTAGTTATATTTTGTATTTTTTTATTATACTCTTTGACATTGTTTTTTATGATAAATAAAAATATTTTTAACACATCCTTTTCTTATATAATAGTTTACTGGTTTATATAGGTTTAGTTCATTTACACATACAATATGATAAAGAAAGAAGGTAAGGCTTTGTGTGGAATATTGTTATTAGGAAAGGGAAGTTTTCTTAAAATACTTTATTTATATGAAAGCTGCTTATGGTACAATAAAACAAAATAACCGAAATATTGATATGTAATTAATAAAAATACAAATTGACAATAACAGCGCAATTGTATACTTGTTCATAAATAAATGATTATAATATATAGTATATTAGTGTTACTGCCAAATAAAATTAATAATAAATATACAATAATTTCGAGCTCTATACAACATTAGCAAAATATTTTAAAATTTAAAACTGGATGACTAACTCCCATTCTCATCATCTAAAAACTCAACATGCGTAAAGGGAAAATATCCCACTTTACCATTCAGTTCACCTTCCCACTGTCCATTTATATTAGTTTTTGTTACAGTTATTATATCTCCAATTTCTAATTTTAAAGCTGTATCATCATAAGCATTTGGAACTCGAACTTGTTTCACTCTAGCTTTAGCTGGCAATTTTCGCTAAAAGTGAAAAAAATAAGTAATAATTTTACACGAAGAACTAAAAACATAAATCATAAATATCTTTCAAGAGATGATTGTTTACAAGACAAGTATTGTATTTTTTTTAAGATTCTTATTTATTTTAACATATACAGTAAGAAATGTCTTGATAATCCAAATTTTAGTTAATTGGTTCAATGCAATACATTATCATATTCTGTGTAAAGAAAAATGGATTAATTTTGATTTATGTTCCTTGATTTAATGGTTTTTACAAATAAACAACTATGTATATGTATATAAATACATATATAATTAAAGTAAAGTAAGGTAATCTGGATTTTTCACAAATCTAGATCATCATTGTCTTAATTTATCTGATTTATTCATGTGTTACTGTAATAAAATGTATATGTAGTAAATTACTAGTAGTTTGCAACATTGAACAACAAAATTTCAACTATAATTATTACTTATTGGGTTAGGTATTTTTTTATTTATTATTGTACAAACCTGCATTTGATTTCGTTTAGCGGCTTCGGCTTGTAAAACTGTATTACTGACAGGACCACCCGAACCTGGACGAGGAAGATCTATAGGAGAATGGTCTTCTTCTATCTACAAAAGTAGAATATGTACAATTAAAATCTTTACATATATAGCCGATCTAATTCTTAATTAGTTAATTTTCAATGAAATAATTTTATCAAGGTTCAAGTGATAATACTAGAGAGAAAAAAAATGTGTTAGGAATAGATAAACATATATGTAAAAAATTAACTACTGCAACAACTTGCAAATACATATCTGATATAGTCGAGCGATTTTAAGACTTACTTTTTGCACATAGGGTACTGGTATGGAACCTTTTTTCCCATCTCTATTTTTTGCAGTCCACCACTGTTCCTCATCTTTAAATATTATTGTTAAAATATCACCTTTTTTAAAGCACAAATCATCTTTTTCCTACAATGAAATGAAATTTTTTACAAGGCTTAAATATTTTTATAAATATTAAAATACTTACTTTGCCTTCAAAATCAAATTTTGCAATAACTTTTTCAATCTTCTTGCTAGCAGGCCTAATGAGAGGTGTAGTATCTAAGTAATGTAATTTATAAAATGAAAGAACATCTTCCACACGTTTAAAAACTTGATCTCCAATTTTATAATGTTTTTGATCATTCTGTTGAATTGTTTTAATTATATAATGACTCACTTTACTATCTTCCCTGAAATTACAAAGTTGCATCTGTGATTTGATAAAAAAATATAATTTCAAACATACTTAACACATAAAACATAATCTCCACTGCTAGTTTTACTTTCCCTAACTAGAAAAACACCACCTTCTCGTTCAGCCATAAGCAAATCGGTAGCTTCCTGTCGGCTAATAGCCCCAAAAAACCAACTAAAACATAAAAAAATTAATATATGTAAAATATTATTTATAATTAACATACACGTTCCAATCCTCATGATCAAAGGAACTAGCCATCATATTTTATTAAGTATTAAACACTGCTTTTGCTTATGCAAAAAATTTTATCAAGATTGACATTTTCACTCACAATATGAATTAAGTTATAGAATACATTATATTACAAGACTATTCACAAATAAACACTAATTAGACTACACATGAAGTATTCCTGTTAAAAGTAATAATTGTTTTTAATTAATAATTCTTTGGTTAAGTTCTTTTAACCTTCCTCATTTTGTGCTACTCTATAATGAATAAAATAATTTATAATGCAACAATTTAAAGAACTATATGTATTTCACAATGTTTTTCGTTAAAATAAAATTTTGATAGATTTTTTTCGTAAATCTTAATGGAAAAACCTTCCAGAACCACTAATATGGCGACTACCAAAACCCCAGAACTGTCACTGCTGTTATCTGTCACTCAATAGCTTACTTATCAGTGGTTCTCAATAGTTTCACTATAGGAATCTTTGTATAATGGTAGTGAACTTAGCTACAAAATATTGATAAGCAATTTCGTAATAACAACGTATTCCCATTTTAAAATTATAGCTGTGAAAACTACAACTAATTACAATGTTACATGCTGTATGTACTCTGATTTTTTCTAATTTATATATAATCTTTTAAAATTAAATAACCAAGGCAACTACATAATTTTATCTGATAAGGTACTTATTTAGATGTACCTACCTACAGTAGTAATCTTCGAGCATATACCTACACTAGGCAAGTTCGGTATTAACGTCTAGACGCTCCAGATGTGTTTTGTTCTTTTCTAATTGTATGAGATGAAAAGACAAAGAGATACATCTAGAGCATCTAGATGTTAATACCGAACTTGCCTACTATATGCTCGATAATACAGTAATAGTTCGAAATATTTAATTACGTGTACATTATAATCACATCTCTTACAAATAAATACACAATGAATCAAGTTTCAATTTTGATGGAAATTTGCGGATAAACGAAAATGTTCACAATTATTTGAAAATTATTTGAATTTTTTAGTAAGTAGAAGAATGAGTAATTATTATTTTTTAAACTTTTCTAAAATTACGAAAAGTAGGTAATGTACCTAATATATAAATATGTCGACAGCCAAGAATAATATGGTAAAAATTAGATATAAAACTATGTAAACTGCCACTGTGTCGTAACTCTTGTAACTTCGTGGAGTTAGATCGAGTTAAATTTAGTTTTAACTCCATATTATTTAACACAGAGTATACTTACCTTCCGGTTTGTTTGATAGTTACTGATTTTTAATTTTGTAATATTATATTCAACATTTTAAAAAGTACCCAACATCACAAGGGGAACAGGAAATCAATCAGTGTAAAATGTCAAAATGAAGACGATGTGTACCTAAGTTGTTAATAAGTAAATAGGAAAATAGGTATTTAGTGACAAAATGTGAAAAATATATTGAGAGAAAACTTCTTACTTATATATATATATATATTATAGATCAAGATAAAATTAAACATAAAATATTAATTATAATTACTTATTAATAGTTAATATATCGGCAGTTCTCACCTATACCTACTACTACTGTAAGATCGATATCTTTTAAATTGTTTTAGAATTAAAGTTATAGTTGTTACAATTATTGTAGTTAGAGTGGAATATAAATATATATTTGTTATGAATGCGCTATTCTATGTTATTTTCGAATTTCTTGTCATAAATACCGAAAATGCTTTTCGGTTAATAAGAGGTGCATCAGAAATATTTTCCCTTATTAATGAGTAATAAAGTTGTTATCACACTCAGTCACCGCATCCTAGTAAAAAAGTAGTGAAAACTTAGAGTCGGCGGGGCGGTCGATTCTTGCGTCTTCCTTCTCAATGACTATTTTCTTATAGCAAATTGTAGTGAGCAGTGTATCAGTGTTTTCGCGATATCGCAGTGCACGTTATGATTTGAACCGGTCTTATAGTTTTGCAATAATCAATGTGATTATTACTTACTGGATTTGCAAGAGGTTTGAAGGTATTTCATGTACACAGTCAGCAAAGCCTTTACACTTATATGCAAGTAATATATTTTTGTTTCATACTAGAATTACTATTAAGTGTGTATCTGCATATTGAAAACAAAATGTGAACTTATCCAGTTGTTTAAACTTCTTTAGTTGCATATATTATGTATCGACACATTTTATTTATATCTAGAAATATTGACAATATTATATTATATCTTATAACATGCTGATCAAAAACAAGCAATATAAAAACAAATACGTTTTTTGTGGAATCACAAAAGATCGAGGTAAAAAAGGAAGAACAGTCAATATTTTAAGCGAACGAACTAAAAACTGTTTAAATTTGTTATATATATTTGTTTAATTTTCTATAATTGTAAATATGTTATTAGTTTAATTTTTAGTAATGCCTTTATAATTTTTTTTATTTTACTATACATTTTTTAAAGTACTTTTTGATATAGATTATCTTTCTATATAGAAAAAAGTTTCTGTAAAAATATGAGCTGCCGTCCACATCCCCACACGACATAATTATACTATCATAATCATGTCACTAAATACAAGCCACTGTAGTATATTTTTTTAGATCAGCTATCCAGTTTGTTGGGTGAAATGCACAGAATTTAATTTTATTGTAAAATACAGTCCTCAAATAAGAAAAAAAAGAGTTCCCATGAACACAGGTCGGAAAATGCTTAGTTTCCAAGATATAGGGTGTTCAAACATTTGAAAATTTGCACATGCACATTTTATTTTTTAAAGATAAAATGATAACTATGAGCTAAAACTCAAGGAAGAGTAAAACTGGGAGACCTAGGTAAAATTTTACCCAATCATTCGCGGTGTGGCATTTTTTTCATTTATTTAAGACCCGAACTTTAACAACTGAAAATTTTTATAGAAAAAAAATTTCATGTAATCAAATTTTATTCTGTTTAACAAAACGACTAACAAAGCTTAAATAATTTGTTCTTGAAAATGTGTAATTTTAAATAATATAATAATTTTTAATTTAATAATAATTTTTAAAAAACGCAACAATGTTCGTCACACGAAGAAAACGGAGCAACATTTTACCCAAGCTCCTGAGATTCTAATTCGTATTTATCGTTTTGTCTTATAAAGGATAATGAACAAATAATAAAAAACATAATATATCTTTGTAAGTTTTGTGTTTTGAATATACTAAAAAAAATGTAATGCCATTCTCACGATGTTCTGGCTTTTCGTTCTTGTTAGGATTTGCTATTAATTAGAATTAATTCGAAATTTAAAATCCTAAACTCCGAATGGATAAAATTAAATGAACAAATATTTCATTTCAAGGCATTGTTATAATAATCATAAAGCTACTTTTTCAATTCATAATTTTTTGTTGTTGCATGTCTGTTTAAATATTTTACAGGTATTAATCCATTCAGTTTCGCTCTCGATTTCGCTTCTAAATACAAATTTTTAATTGGTGCCAAAAATTTTTTTTAATATAATTGTAGTTTCTGAAATCATTTGTGGCATATTTTAATTTACTTTCTGTATTCGAATATTGAACTTACTTTGAAAGTAATAAAAATGAGAAGGCCCTAGCGAGATATAATATTATGAGAAAATTCTTTATCATTTGAAGCAAGTAAAATAAAAGTAGATAAATAAATTTATTTTTAAATTTTTTCATGTATTTGTGTTAGAGCTTAAAGTTTTTCAGGGAGATCTTAAGTCGGCTTCAAATGACGTGGTCATATGTCAAATATTTGTGAAATGTAAACAAATGCCATATCGTGTTGATGTTGCATGTCGGTACGTTCAAAAGCATGTCTATGGAGACATGCTTTTTGAACTAGAAATATTCGTCAAAGCTGTTTATATTTATATTTAAGGAAATATTTGTCATGTTTTCGTATTTCACGTCGCATCGCTGTGAATTTTGAACAAATAACCTGCAATTAATCTGCAATTATTGGATACATTTATTACTGACAAACATTGGTGAGTGACTGCATCGTCTGTGACATCGCCTGGTTACGGCCCCGACCTGTATTGGCATAAAAACAGTTCATGTGTTTTTTATATAATTTTTATTGTTTTGTTAATACGAGATTTTTAGTTTACGTAAAGATTAAGAAAAACAAAATGAAATAATTTAAACAAAATTATAGTAAAATCGTATTAAGATTTTCACGAGCATCTGTTGAAAAATTGTATTCAAATGAAATGTAAAATAGTTTTAAAATACCTGTGCTTATCATTCTATATCAAATATATTACAAAGTTGTAGGGAAATGTAAATATTCCATATATTTTGGTTAATAAAGTTAAGAACTTAACATACTTTCGTTTTTATTCTCTTGTATGTACTACTTGTAAACAGATGTGCAATATGTAATATCAATAATAATGTATCTTAATGGTGTTGTCAAGAGGTGACTTTCTAGGTGGGTTGATGATCTATTACATCTTGCCCACAGGTTTATTATCTGTCAATTGATTTAAAATTCATTAAAGAAAAATTAAAAATTGTTCGGGAGCCATTACAGACATTCCCTAAGTGTGGTTCGTTATTTTATTATTATTATACTTATTTACAAGTCATAATAGTTTTAAACATTAAACTGGAAATTGGTATAGTCTAGATAAAAAAGTCTTAAGTTACGATTAAATCAGGCCAATACGTTTCTATAAACAAAACTGGTAGGTAGCATAGATCGCCTAGAAGCTGTCGATATAATTTGTTGTAGGTGTCGGCTGTGTTGACAAATTGTTAATATTTTAATAACTTTTCCATATTTATTTGAATAGATAAATTATATGAACTCAAGCAATTGCTTAATTGGATTTTATTACTAATTAATTTAAATAGAGCAACCACGCATATTCACACTAACGCGTTATGAACTAGGATTGGATTGTATGGCCTTGTGGTATTTGTTTTGTTGTTTGTAAAGCATTTCATTTAATAATATATTGTAGTCTTAAAGGTATAGTAAGTAATCTGGTATCATTCACGTTTACTATCTACACACAAGTTTTGTCTCTCTCTTCGTGCAACGAACTAACAGTGAAAGGTAATTACTATTAACTGACGGGGAGATATTATTCGCGGATGTATATAAATTATTTTTTATATCTTAAGGTAAAAACGTCCTGACTAAGCCACATTGTTATTAGTAGGTCCTTATTTTATTAAAATTACCTGTATTATCATATTAAAAATGTTAACTAAATCTAACTTCCATTTTACGATATTTTAAATACTTCTGTTTTTCTCATTATTCTCTTAAGTTGGACTCCTTACGTGTATAGAGTAACCCGGTAGGAATTTTGTAAAAAATTATATTTTGCAGCTCGATTTGCAGCAAGTAGTTTTTTAACGCATATGTATCCAGTAATTATTATGCTGATGTAATAAAAACATTTGACAGCTCAAGATATTTTAATCAATAGGCCCTGTATATTCAAATTACATAAGCAATTAGGCGACAGGTCTAGGCGACTGCTAACAAACGTGGGTTGTTAAGAAGATATCAAGCATATTAGAACAAACAGTTAGACACAAGCCTTGATAGTACTTGTGTTATTAAAACAGCGCATCGTGGGATGGTACCATACCCGTGTTGGATACCCTGAATTCTATGCTTAACTGTTTCACAGACCTGTCAAGTGTGTAGGTCACTAGAAATAAATTGATACCGATCATAATAGGTCCATAAATATTACAACTTTGTTTACAGTAAAGTGTAAAAGAACGCTTCTACAATTTCCGAAAGAGAGGATAGTACCTACAACTTTCCTGTTTATTTATAAAATGTGTCGAAAAATAAAAGAGTTAGTTCATCTAAGAGTTGTTGAAATTTTATGTCCACAGGACTCATAGTTTCCTTTTTTTTTACCATCTATATGGGTATAAACTTAATTTTCTACTAACCTTTTTTCTTTAAAAGAGGCATGTTTTTGAAATAGTATCAGCTTTCTGACTGATGTTAAGAATTGCTACCGTAGTGTAGTTCAAGTCAAGTCAACGTTATTGTCATTATAATACCGATGATTCTGATGTATAGTGTTCTATATTGGTTTAATCAACAGCTATGAAAATTTCTGAGTAATACAAAATTTCATAATTTTCTCTTAATACTACCAACAAACCGATTTGATTTTACAAGTACGCATAGTAAATTTGTGGTTTTTCAAGAGAAATATCGTTTTTGATCCGCTTCTAATGATTAAATCAGTTCGTATTCGCTAAAAATGCTGCAAAATGTAAATTATGCGTATTATAGACTAACATTATTGTGAACGTGTAACAATAATTATTTTATTAATAGTGCCTACCTTCAACCGATAAATGAACTTGTCTGAAAGTTGTTTATTATTATATTTCCTAATCCGATAAAGCTTGCATGGGAAAAATTGTATATCCTGTATATAATTACCTTTTTTATAAATATTTTTCATAAGGATAGAATAATTGAATTAATAAATGTCTTAATGATATTTCACATTTCAAAAATATATCAGTACTTTCTTATACACAGAGCTGAGATGATATAAAGCACTAAAGTTAAAATATGCTATATGTGCATAACTTTTAAAGAACAGGTAAAATAATAGGAATTGTATATTTCAACGAAAATAATTCAGTGAAAAGATATTTGCCTGAAAGGACCTTGGCTACTTTGCCGTTACACACATTTCAAATATATAATGAAACTTATAGTAGGTACTTGGGCTCCCGAAAACAACAATTTGACTCATTATTCTAGGGAAATTTATAAATAAAAATTTATAGCCATAGGCATGCCACATGTGCGGGTAAATAGCTATGAAATTTGAGAGGAAATATGTACCAGGCAAATACAAATAGGGCGACCTTCAAAGATTCAATTCACGAAACTTATTTTTCTTATAGAAAATTATAACTTATATAAAATTATGGCCGCATGTTTATATGCGTTGTAACTAGGTTTCACGAATTAATACAATATAATCATATATACTGTGTATTTTTAATGCAATACGCATCAGGAAAACGTGTAATAGTTTTATTTCAGGTTGAAAATTACGTACATATTAGCTTTTCATTTCTTTTGAACGATTTGGAGGTTACTTAGAAATGTTTTATGAGGGAAGGTTTGCTTGAATCACCTAATACTATCGATAATAAAAAGAAAAACTGCAATAAAGTTTCACATTTCATATCATGAACTTCTTCCTTAGGTTTATTTATTATTATATAGCTATCTTTACGTAGGTAGTCGAAGTGGGCTGCGAGAAGCAGGCTATTTTTGTGTATAGTAAGCAAAGCAACCTTCTAAACAGCTTTTTTAAAATGCGAAAATATTAACGTAGGCTTTAATCTGGACGCAAATGAGCACGAAAACAAATATTATGAATGAGATGAAAACACATTTAATAAACACGCATCGCACCTTGAAGTTTGCTGTTTGATGGTATTATTTTTATAATATTTAAAAACAATAAAGATTGCTGTCTGTCTGTGTAATTTTGAGAGAAATGACACATTGAAAAGCGAATTATTTAAACAAAATTTAATTCCTTGTATATCAACTATAATTTCATAATTTTTAATTTATTTGCACGTACTAATTATTATTTTTTTTTTCAGAAAACGAAAATGAGAATTTTTAAACGACGATGTTCCGATCCGAACCCTCAATTAGAAAGTTTATCCACGCTTTCAGAAATTGATGGTAACCTGACAATAACCTCTCGTGTTCCAAGTTCTGAAAACTTTCTAGAAGCTAAAAAATCAAGTATGTAATTATGCTTTACTTTAGTTTTTGTTTTCCATACAATGTTTTAAATGTCATTTTGTTTCTATGTAGAATGTCGTGAATTTTTTGTTCTATTTTCAGATCTTTCCGGTTGGGGAAAAACTTGGGAAAAGCTGAAACGTGGTGACTCTTCAGAACAGTTACGAACAGATAAAAGTAAAAAGCGAAGTTGGGCCTCTTTAAAGAAAGAAAATGAAGATACAAAAAGTGTCCATAAGGATGCATATAAATCAGATCTACAGTTGTCTCAAACTGATTTAAGAAAAATTTATGATATGTATAGAAGTATGAATGATAGTTGTAGTAGACCCGATAAAACATTGAAGACTGGAAGAAAAGCTAAGTGTACATCAGAAAATTTGGAATTAAGTCAACAACAGCTGTTAGACTATTTAATAATGATGAAGCCGAATAACCAAGAACTTGATAAAATTTTCAGTGAAATATCAAATGATTCAAAAGATAATTCTGGAAGATTGAGTATTTTAACGGAAGAGAAAAAAAGCAAATCTAAATTTAGGTCATTATTTTCTCGATCGAGTAAATCAGATGATGAGTCAGACCTTAGATTACATCCTAAAAATTCGTCAACCGATAGTCTAACAAGTCTAATCAATTTTATAATGCCCAGAAGGTCTACTTCCAATATTTCACCCAATTTGCCACATAAATTTAAATCTGACGAAAGTGGATATGGAAGCGATTCAACTAAAGCGACTAGTATTGATTCTCCAATTGGATCCATTAAGTCACAAATAAGTAACGTATCAAACGATGAAACAAATGCTCAACATAAAGAAAACGTAACTACTAGCGATTTTTATAACGACGATACAGACACAGCCGAAGAAGGAGACAATGACAGAACTCTTACAAATTGGTGTCGAGGTACTTCTAAAAAACGTTCCAGATCTCGCAGCGATGATAACGACTCATTTTCGAAGAAGAAAAGTTTAAAATTGAAAAGGTCACCCTCAAAAAAAGAACAATTTAGGGCGCCCGCTGAAGACTTAAGTCAAAATTGTTGCCATAAATTAGACGGACTGAAATTAAACGAAGAGAAAATAGAAGAAAAGAAAAGTAAAATTAAAAATCAAACTTCAAAGATTCCTGAAAAAGAATTTAAATGCGTGAAATTGAAAATATCAAAAGGTGAATTCGTTGGTATTAAAATTGGACCGAATTACGGATGGGGCTCGACAATTAATTATATTATTACAGACATAATACCGCATTCAGCTGCATATAGGTAAAATATGTTTTTATAAATTAAATTATAAATATTTTGTTAATAGGCAGTCTTTTCAAACAGATTATCTGTTTCAGGACCGGCAATTTCAAAGTGGGTGACGAAGTGGTGAGTCTAAATGGAACCAGGATTAAGGGTTGTCCACTAAGTATAGCCAAAAGTTATTTGGAACCAGAAAATGGAGAACTGAAAGTTATGATAGCACGAATACCATCAGAATCTCCTACTAAACCAACTAAAAGACGAAATTCGTTTCTGCGAGATAACACATCGACTTTAAAACTTCCTCTGTTTAGTCCGAGGAAAGAAATATTTAGTCCTAGAAAAGAAATAAATTGCCCCAAAAAAGAAGAATTTAATCCGAAAAAGGATACATTTAGCTTGAAGAGGAATTTACTTAGCCCCAAAAAGGACGCACCTAACTCTAAAAATGGAACAGCTAACCCTAAAAAGGAATTAATCGTCACTAAAAAGGAAATATTTAGCCCTAAAAAAGACATTTTTAGCCCTAAAAAGGAAAATGCCCCTCTCAAAATACGTAAATACAGTTTGGCATCCAGTGTCTCAAATATCGACAGAAACAGATACGTTGGACTCTCTGACATTTTATCAATAAAAAATGGAAATGAATTGGAAAGTAAAGTGACCTTTAGTGAAGATCCACATACTTTAAAAAAAGATGATATAAATTTATTTAAGAAACCAGAGGCTGCTAAAACTTATGTTACGAGTCCCAAGGCTATTACGGGAATGAGAAAATTTTCGTATTCATCTGATATTTGCATAAAATCATCTAGTGGATTATCTGGGCTGCGAAGTCGAAATGAAAATAGTGGTGTACAAAAGAAGAAAGTGGTTTTCCACAAAGGACCAGGTTGCAAATCTCTTGGCTTTTCCATAGTTGGGGGCAAAGATTCACCAAGAGGTCCTATAGGGATTTATGTTAAAACGATATTTCAACAAGGACAGGCTGCTGAATCTGGGATAATGAAGGAAGGTAGGACATTTAATCATTCCTTAATATTTCTTTCGGATTCATTTTTTTTACTCCTTCCATTTAGTCATTTTCAGTTGTAAATCTGTTTTCCATTTCACTTTTTTTGTTTCTACCAATTGCCAGTGTCATTAGCATTTTTGATATTGTGGACTGACTTGATGTGATACCTATAATGTGTATTTCCTTGTATAAATTAATTACTTCTTCATTTGTTCTTCTAATCCATCCTTCATCTATTTTCTTTCCTCTAAATATTTTTCACAATGTTTTCCCTCCCACAACTATAGTCTCGTCTGTTCCAATTTGTTTAGGGCCCATGTTTCAGTGACATATATAACAAATTTTATTTTGTACAGCCTGTATTTAAAAATTATTATTCCATGTTTATCTTTATAGCAATTTGGTTTGGGTTGATATCAATTTCTCATTAACGAAATTGGTTTAAACTGCATTACTGAAGATTTTAGACTTCATTATTATGAACCTTGATTTAATATTAACGATACCATTTTATATTGTCTTTAATTAATTAATGTTGGTCATGAATTAAAAAAGAGCGTCAGTTTGTTGTCAATTGGCCACATATAAGTAATATCAAAAATTGTTATGGTATATCATAGTTAGAATAGATATTATTAGAATAATTATTCGATTGATTCATTTCCTTTAAATGGTGAAAAATGTGGTTTTTGTGGTGTTGATAACATAGAATGTAAATCATTTTTGCATAGTTTGTAATTAAAATTGTGTGATGATGCATTTAAAAATTAAATATTACTTTCTTCTTCCAAATTTCTTTTAGCTTTATTAAAAATGACTTCAAAAAACTATAATAAACATATTCATGAATATTTAAAGTTGTTTAAGATTAATTTTCTGTTTCTTTTAAATTTCTAGTCATTCTAATTGATTTTTCATTCATTCACATAATCCATAAATTCAGTTGGATATGTTCAGATATAATTTTTCAATAAATAGTGTAGTATGAAGCATATTTTTATTGCGAAGTAAATTGATTTCTAAAAATTTCAAACGGAACAAACGATAAACGGTTCTTCAGTGATGACCGTAGTCGTATACTTAGTCATAATACGGTAGGCAATATAAGATTGCTGCGGTTAAATTGGCGTCTGAATACACTTATAGTGAGTGATAATAAAAACCTACTTGACTATTATACATGACGTCAATAATGCATGTTATTCTTTGACCAAACCTAATGAATGATAGATAAACTCCTACTTTTACTTTTTTTTTTCATGAATTTCCACTATTTAGTAAAAATATACTTTGAAAAAACTTTTATTTATCCACTTGTTCCACCTGTAAAATTGCTGCCATTTAGAAAAGCATTTTTGTAAATGTTTAGTCCTAACTGATATGAGTATACTATCAGTTAAAAAGTATGTAATTCTATTAATTTATTCGGTGTATTCCTCTTGATTATAAAAAGTAATGAGTGTACCACTTTTAGGGGATGAAATAATTTCGATAAATGGTACCCCCTTCAAAGGATTGTCCCATCACGAAGCCGTGTCGCTTTTCAAAAATATTAAATGCGGGGAAGTTATAATGGAGATTGTTTGTCGCCCGCACTTCAAATTATATTCCAGTTCTGTGTGAATCTGTATAAATTTATGTCCAAATTTAGTCCATGTTGGTGCCATAATTAATGATTTTAAATGGACAAAAATTTAAAATAAGTTAATGTTTACCTACTATGGAATGGTTAATAATAATAACTATTCTTCTTATAATTAATAGAATCATGAAATAATTTAATATCCGTTTTAATTAATTTCTAGTAAAAGCTATTCTTTGCGTAGACATTAACTTATTTTAAATTCCTAAAAAACAATGTGTTCAGTAATTTAACCTCATTATTTTTTGTCTAGGAACAGATGATTTGATGTAATTTGTTGGTTTATGTTAAACATTAACAAAAATATCGAACTCCTTATGAGTAAATAATAATTATAAGGATACCGGATTAAAGAAAGTGCTGCCAATATTAGCCTCTCTTTATTTTTAATCCTGCTCGATTACCGCTAACTTTAATAACTATTTGGATATCCTAGGCACAAATATCTTGTTGCATAGTTCAATATTTAGTAGACTTGCATCTAAACGCACGGTATATTATTTGACAGTAATTAATTATTTTAATAATTAATTAATGTAATTTAATTATCCTCAAATTTAGTTGGATACTGTGGTTATTGTTTACAATGAGCAGTTAACCCATTGTTAATATATTCACTGTAATCAGTAGGTAAACCAGATGTCCTCTTCTTAATTTTTTTCATTTTTGATTTTGCTGTAACAGTAAGGGTCTAATTTTTATTTTTAATTTTACAAACGGGATAAACATTTGATTTGACTGATTTGATGTAGAGTTTTATTAAGGTTATTAGTTAATAGAAATATTATCAAATAGAATTAACTGTAACGACGTAATGTATAAATGTTATTTTTTGTAACACTGATTGCAGCAGCTTTACTAGATTAAGAATGTTGGTATTCACATGTGTACATATGTATCTGTAGTGTAATTACGTGTTTCTGTTTACAATATATATATAACTTAAAAAAAAAGAAAATCGTGCAATGGTACCTATATATTTATTTTGTAAAAATATTTCACTAATGAACATACCAGAAAAATCTGCTGTTGTTTCATATTTATATTTGAGTAACTATCTTGTTTTGTAATAGTTTGAAACTCTGCATTAATTCCTAAAACTTTAATATCCACTACTGACCAGATATTTTGATGTATCAAAATTGTGTTTCAGTTTAACTTAGTTACATTAAAAGGATGGATATTTGTGGGAGGCATTGAAATTAATTCCCAATTTCTAAAATAGATTTACAGTTAATTTAATAAAAGTTTAATTCGTCCCTCTAATTTGTGAAGTGTGCTCAGTTTGGTTTATATCACTTGCACTGTTTAGTATAGTAGAGATATGATTTCTGTTAGTTTGTTGGGTGCATTATAAGTAGTAATTATTGTATTTAATATTGTGTCTATGTGTTATTTTTGTATTTTTGTAATAAACAGTACTAACTACATGATTGTCTTTTTTAATTAAGTTATATAAAAAAATATTATATATTTGATTCGGCACCAGCGAATTGTTTGCCACTAAGAAATCATTACAACTGATGCATTTTAAGATAGATATTTAAAAAAATGCTTTTATTGACAAATATAATTAAAATAATATAAGTTTAAAAGTAGTCGGTTGAAATTCTAAGGATATTTTGTGTTAATTATTTGACAATGTTTTAATTGACGTTCTTATTTTACTATTTTGTAATACAGAATTGTCGGTTTTGTTTATTGTCACCACAGACTTCTAAGTATATAGAACTCTGTAATTGGCACTAATCAGAACTACCTACCAATAATTATTATATGAGAATTACATTAATCTATAACGTCTTTTTAAGGGCGAGTTCTCGATAAGACCGTTAGATGTCGATAGCGTAGTTAATTTAGTGATAAACAATCAAGAGCGAAAGTAGTTTTAATACAGGCAACCCACAGTTCACTTACAACAATACTTGGTTGCCTAACTGTACGAACAACTCAGATTTATTCAGGTAAATGGGAATTTTATAAAATTTATATGAAATACATATTTTATATGTGTACCTACTTAATATGTAATTAATTTTTTTTCACTTACTGTGTAGGGTGTATCCTAAATAAAAGGGACAACAAATTTAGGACAAGGTTCTGTTAAATGTCGGCAACTTAAAAAACTCGAAGAGAAATAAACTATAATAAGTTATAGACTTTATCAGATTGTGTTGAGGAATTTATTTTAAGAGGAAGTTGTCGAGTTTACATTTTAAATCCTTTACGCCAGACCGGACGGAAGTAGTTGGGTATAAGTTTATAAAAATGTGATGTGCATAAATGATTTTAAGTGTCATAACCTTTGCAGTCGGCCCAAGTTTGATAAGGATAACAGACTATCAGGTAGGCGCTAAATAGTTCATAATTTCCATTTGATAACTAGCCTACTACGACTATTGATAGGAAATACTTTTCAAATTAATTTATTTACATCTTGCGCGTGTGTTGATTTTTCCTTACCTATACTTTGACTGAACTGCTAGGTTGAGATATACAATTATATACATATACAATATTCTTTTTGTATTTATGCGGGTAATAATAAGTAATAATATTAAAAACTAGGTACTTTGGTAGGTCGCTGTGTGGTAGGTGCTTCCTCTTATCACTGTTAGCAAATATGCTGGTTTCCGTTGAATGTAATAAACCTACTTTTTACACATTTTCTATCAGAATTACGGTTAAAGCTGTGATAAAGTAACGGACATAAAAAATACCAGGCAATATTTTAATTTTTAACATTTTATACATTTTTTAAATATATCAAGTAATATTAACTTTACGAAAATCGCTTACTCAAAAATACTCTTTAAAGTACTCTTTAAATGTCAGTTCAGACATTTTCTCGGAGTATGAGATAAAATCGCTAAAAGTGAAAAAAGTAAAATATGCTATAAAAATTAGAAACAATTTTAAACTTTATGTATAAAACCAATAAATACTTTCTTTTTAGTATTATTTTGAAGTAAATATGTAATGACGTCTCTGCCTAGTAGTCGGCAAAGTGTTTGTATACCGTTACAGAACAACAATTTTGCACTACGGTCCTGATTTACTGTTTACGCTCAACAGGCGTATCGTTGAGTCTTTCCTGTGTATTTCGACAAATAACTCGTGAATGTTATTGTAGTGGTATTATTTATGTGTTCCAAAGCTCTCTTTAATGATTTTTCAGATATTGGTGAGTACAGCTTGTCAATTATATCGTCTTTTACGAACGTAATGTAAATCTATTAATTTAAATGAATTCGCTTTCGTAAGTTGCGCGGATATAAAAAAGCCTTTAGCATTGGATAATATGAGTAATAGTACAAATATTTATTTATGTTTATTTTACTTGGGGGGACAATAATAAATAATCATAAATTACCTCTGTAAGTTAGATAGATACTTTGTTTACCGCCAAATTATAATGCAAAATATTTAAATGAATTCCTCTCCACAACTGAAATACATAATTTGGTTTGCAAAATTTTCTGAAAGGTGATTATTTTACAACAGTATGTTTAAAATTAATATGCAGTAGTTATCCATATGCAGTTAACAATCCGTATAAGGTAGTTAATAACGCTTTTAATATGCTCATCATTCATAAATAATTAAAAATATGTTTTGAGCAGAGGTGTACTCTACAGTGCGAAGGTGTCAGTACCTTGAAATATGTATATTGTGAAAAGATTACGATAATCTATGTTTCCGTTGATATAATACAGTTGATGATACTTCAGGTGTTCGGTGATATTAGCAGTGTTTGTTATGGTTTCTCAAACCGATGGTACGTAATGGAATATTATTATTATTTTATTAAGTTTTTGCTCGTTTTGTGACTAATGAACACCGCCGAAAACGAATTTAATATCACTTTTTTACTCTGAAACTGTGTTTTTAACGATTGCTTTTTGTATAAACAACTGGATTATTAAATGGTATGCTTTCTAACAAACAATGAACAAGAAAATGTTTGTTTTGTTTCGAAATGTTTTTAAGGTGCTGTTTAAAATGTTTGGAAATATAAAATATTACAAACTTTGCCCCTAACAGTATATTCTCATCAAATAACTAGTTTGTGGAGGTTAAATATGTTGCCATAATAAAAATATTAATTAATTTCTTGTTTTTTTTACGTAATACTTGAATGTAGTAAACATAGTGAACCTAACACGGTTCTAAATTAATTTTATCTTACACAAATTAAGAGCAACTGTAATAAATTTATACATTTCAAAGATATTCTCCATTTACTGGCAGTTAACTGCATTGCCCGAGATAAAACGTAACTTACAAACCATTCAATATGTACACAGATAAATATATTTAATTACAAAGCATAATGAGCTGTGTAAGACAACTTAAACAGGGCAAAGGGCATAGGGCCAAATATATTTATATACTTCGATATATGAGCATCAACGTAAACATAAAATCTAATTAATAAATTAACCTTCATTTGTAGGGTTACTTTAATGGGAGTTTTTAAAAACATCTTAAATTATTTCAGTTTTGGAACCTTAATTATTTAATTAGCTGCCCAAAATGCTACTACAAAGAGAGCGCCGGTTTAAAATATCCTAGAAGTGTAATAAACTGCATTCGTAATAGTTTTACCGTCAAAAAATTACCTTAAATCCAAATAATACTCAATGGGGTTTTCCTGTACTAAATGACGACATGTTTTCTTTAAAAATAAATAAGCGGTTACGTCCTTGAGTGTCATGGTTCATTGTTATTTTCATAAGCAATCTTCATCTAATTAGTTCTTGTCTGGTTCGAGTCTTTATGTTTAAGGTGTTAAAATGTGGGAAAACAGTGAACGAAGAAGCAAATAAACGTTGAAGCAATGGTATGGTTATAATGTGCGTAGCAATTTGTACATATTTTATCTAAAAACAGTCAAGCTGTTACGAAGAAAGTTTAATGGCAATTTCTAAACATAAATATTTTTAATGTGTAACTTGTCAAGTGTATAAGTATACTAATTAAAAATTAAACTAAAAACCTAATACAAAAAACTTGTTAGTGCTGAATATGAAATGAATCATTATTTAAACTAGCATCCGCTCTAAATGTAAAAAAGGTAGAAGTGACATGAGAAAAATTTTATACAGCCGCTTTCGGTGCTAATGAATAAGGTAATTGTTCTGCCAACAATGGAATTATTTGACACATAAGACTAGTTTACTTTTCAATGTAGATGTGTTTCTTGTTTTATTTTAACACAATGCTGTTTGTTTATAACATCAACATAATCTAATTAGGTAGTCGAATAAGTACATACTGAAACCGAAAAAATGTGTAGTACGTCCACCTGAAGATAATAATCTTTGTAAGTAACTTTGCTATTGTTTATGTCTTCTTTTTTCACGTTGTTACATTCGAAAGGTTAGTGAAAAATTAAATGGTTTTCTAGTCTCTGTAGTCATTCCAAATAACTATAAGTACATTTTTGAACATAATGAATTATATTTCAATTAATTTTCATTTCAGGTACCTAAAGTTAAGAGCTTTAGAAAATAGTAATCACAACATTCGTTTTCCTGCTGTTTACGTTTTCCTTATTAAAAAATTGATTGTAAATTAATTACATCACGATTTTGTGAAAGTTAATGCAATATCAAATAAAAATATAGTTCTTTACAAAACCATTTATTAATATTAGGTGTTTGGTTTAGTAAATTCTAAAAAATAGACTAGATGTTTTTTCGTATAAAATTATTTTGAATCAAATCAGGGAAAATTATTAAAGACGCTGTGATTTTATGATGCCTATATGTTTATGTTACCGAATGTCTTGATTATTACTGACGATAAAAAGTAATACGAATTTTTAATGTTAATATTCTACGTACAATGGTAGGCACTATTTATTTTATGCAATAAACTAATTATATTTCAAAGCGATACACCCATTGTACCTTGACTTACTAAAAAATAATTGTGAGTACGCTATCCCATCTTGAACATTTTTAGCGGCTGGGCGTGTACGATATAATAGAGAGTGTTAAAAAATCAAAAGTTATTCTCGTTATCTCTTTGTACGATCACAAGGTGGACGCAGTCATTGGAACCTTTTAATATGTACGTACATACGTATATTTCGTAATATATTCAACAAAAAACGCATCATTGATAACGAAGTTATTGACCTTTTATACAAAGATCAATATTTGAAATTACTAAATTTTTATCCTTAAATGTAGCCTAATCACAGTATTGTTTATTAGTATCTGTTTGGCTTTCGATTAATAATATTTACTACAGTTTCGAATATTTTGAATGTTCCTACAAACTGCGTTTGATGGTAATTTATATCATTTAAATATTTAATATAATAAGTGGCATATATAATCGTTTTTGTCAGAAAAAAATTGAATTACGATAACAGTTTCTTTGTCTTTCCAGATATAAATGGCAGCATTTCCCAAAAATGGAAGCGCTTGCGGAAATGTTGCGCATCGCTCAGAGGCGTCAATGTACACAGTTCAGAAACATCTAAAAGTACTTTACTGGAACCATCCGCCCCTCACATACTAGTCAGTACACCCCATGCAACTTCATCACTACGTATACCAAGTAGCAATAAGAAAAATAGTGTCCAAGACGTACTGAGAGCGAAACTAAGCCAAATACACGTAGGTTTAAGGAAACGGAGGGCTCTATCCGTCCAAGAATTTTTCCATAACTCGAACCAAGAGAAGCAGCCGACTTTTTACGTCCCATCCCCCTGTTCGGTGTCGCCTACTTCGGGTGGCACCTCGCAACCTAGGAGGCCACGTTCCAGACAACGATCCGTCACTTCTTTGACATACACCCCTTCTCAGTCCAAAGAATTCATCAAGTGTCATAGCGGCGAGTGGGACCCCCTCCCTTACGAACCACCCCCCGATTACGATGATGAAGACAAAGCTCCAACGCGAAGATGGTCTGTGATAGCTTTAAACAAAACCGAGAAGAATAGAACACCAGCGAAGATAGAAAATTTCAACATCAAAATTCCCAAAACTAAGTTGAACAAGTCCTTTGACCGTGCCAGGTCACAGTCCCCTAAATGGAACAAAGAACAGGGCAAGTCCATTAGAGGCGATACCCAAGTGATCAAACCGCATTTTGCTTCTAAAGCTAACTCTAAAAGCCACTATGAACTTATTGGTGCTAGACAAAAACCGGAAGCTAGACGGGACGCCGAACGTGGCCAACAGGTATGTAATTGATTTAAAACTACCATTAATTCTGTTTAGCATTTATTGTGCCACAGGATGTAAAAACGCAACGTGGGTACTAGAACTTACTGTTACTTTTTTAGCCAGGCTCTACGATGAGCAAGTGTTTCACAATTTTATTTTGATGCAGTGTGTTTTTACCCTCAGACAGTTGAATATCGTCTGAAGTTATGAAGATCTGGCATATTTCGCCATCTGTGAAAAAATTAAAATATTAATGAAATAAACCGTTGCGGTTATTTTTGCCAAAATAGTTTCGCCTAACCAAAAATATCACACAAAAAGCAGATGAATACAAAATACAAAAAACACATCACTATATATTTTGTTGGGCAAAACTATTTTCGTAAAAATGGATCCAATAAATAAGGAAGAAAAGTTAAATATTTCTTGAGACGTATATCTGTTTTGTCTGTCGTTTTGAATTTTTCAAAATAGTTTCTTGTCGTTACTTCTCTGATAAAATAGTAGGCGCTACAGAAAGTTAGATATGGCATTATCAAGGAAACTGAAGGTCCCCTGTTTGCATAGTTGTGGATGGAGTTTTGCTGATATCAAGAGTCAATGTTTTTCGAGATATTTATAGAAATAATTATCAGCCACATTATAATGCCCATAATTTGTTTCTGCGGATGTTTTACGAATCGTCACTAGTTAATTTTTATCAAATTTGAAAACTTTTAAATTTTAAGTTTAATAATTGCGCCTTTTAATAAAATAATATTTTTTTAATAACTTTTCTGCCATTTGCTCCAGTGAAAAACCTCTCCCACTTATGAATATTATTTACAATGTTGCAGAACTATAATCCAATTTTTATGTGGAATAAAACAAGGAAAACATTCTGTGTTTATAAATACAACAAAGGTTACATTCATTCTATCGATATTTTGCATTAATCATCTGTTTTAATCACTCATTATTATTTTCAGTAGTAATTAGCATACCAATTTACATTCTTATTATTTATTATTTCCTTTGTATTAGTGTACTGTGAAAAATATACTTCTGAGCAAAATTCGTGCACCATTTATAGATTTGTTTAAAAATTAAATGCCAATAGACTCTTTCAGTGTGACGTCACATATTTAGGCAACCCGCAACGAATTGTCATAGTTGAAATTGTGCAGACCGAATCTGCTCCTTGTGTACTATTTACAAAGATACTATAAAAATGAACAGTTTCAAATTAATGTATTGTTACAAGGATTTAGAAGTATTTAAGAATAACCAATACGTGTTTCGAAAAATATATACATACACTAATGCGCTTAAAACTTACAAAAAACGATATAAAAAATATTCCTAAATTTAAATCAAGTAAAAATTTAACATAGGCCGTGTTATTCCTAATGCGCATTCTCGGGAAGAATAGCCTCATACGCAGGTGAGATCTTCTTGATATGTTATCGCTGTCATTATTAGCGTATTATCTCTTATTTTGTTTAATCTTGGTATTTTCTTTTTCTTGATGCTGTATTGTGTCAGTGTGTTTATCGAGTGTTTATTTCTTCAAGTGGTATATTATAGACGTACTCTTCGCCATAACCAAATTTTCTTCAATGTTACCCTGTTGCGAAGCTCTTTCGCTTACATGAAATTATCTTTAATGCGCATGCTCAGTAACATAATTTTAATTTATTAATTACTATAAAAGTCAATATTGTTCTATAAATTTAAATATACAGGATGTTAATTAAGTATGTACAACAAATTCAACAGACGATTATTTTACTGATTTTAAGACAAAAAGTTGATATAAACATTAGTCCGCAGATGCTTCGTTTTCAAGATACAACTTTTGTAAAAAAATAGCTATTTCGTAAATATCTTAAATACCTTTACCCAATTTTGTTGTAATTTGGCAGTGTTATTTGTACTTTATGTTATTTAGATGTTATATGTTATTAATAAAAAATTATAAAAAAATGATAATTTCCAAAATAAACTTTTCTCCATGTTTCTTGTGTGGTTCAGGGATATGCAATTAAGTGGATTTTATTTTTTTCTACAAAAATTAATCAAGATACGAAAAACATTGAAGAGACAAAAAAGTATTTTCAGTTGCTTAAAACAAGAAAAATATAAAAATTACAAAAAAGTCAGTGGCATACATTTTTTTTGTCACAAATATTCGTTAAGGTACCGCTAGGGACGCCACTGGACTTAAATAAATCTAATCAAGTTGGAGTTAAATTAGCCCCTTAACACTGCAAATAACACTGCCAAATTACAATAAAATTGGGTAAAGGGTATTTAAGATATTTACGAAATAGCAATTTTTTTACAAAAGTTTAACACCCTATATCTTCAAAAAGAAGCATGTCTGTTGAATTTATTATACATACTTAATTAACACCCTGTATAAGCTCTATAATTCTTATAGTTTGTCACTTTTGGTTTGAAACTTCTTAAATATTTCTAATATTGCCAGAATATCACGATATTTAAGGTCATGAAAAGAAGACATTTTTTTGACACTTATGTCCAAAGTACATAAGGTCGAAAATCGATCTAGTAAAGATACTGAGAAATTCTTCATGACAATGATCTTTAAAACAGTATGTGTGACAGCTTAGTGCAGGTGTGTGTTTTTTCCTGTTTATAGAAACTATACAACATTTTGCAATAATTTGAAGAAAGAATTTGCTTAATATCTTTAAAAAAATGAGTAAACATGATGCTAATGATGAATTACATATTTTTGAAAAATCCAATAAAATAGTTGTATGGTTAAATAATTACTCTCTGTTAAAGCGGATCTTAGAAAATCCGCTGAAGGGATTCGAAGTTTGCATCATGCCCATGACCCAACAAGTTGTTTCAGTACCACCAAAAAGGTTTTCTACCAGTACATTTCGCTTTACGTCTTTAACAGGAACTATAGCATATCAGAGGACAAACGGCAAATATTGATAATTATACGGCGTAATGGCGTTTGGATATTAAAGAAATATCCAAGTTCAAAATTTCCCGCACAGGTACGTGAGTGACATTCTTCCACGTTTTTGTACCTAAACGAAATCACAACCGTATTATTTATTGTGTATTGTATTCTAACACGTATACATGAACTAGAACCTTTAGGCTAAGAATGTGGCTGCGGATGTTCATTCCATGATTCACGTATTAGCATATATTTGTACTTAAATGGTTTTCACGGTAGGAGAGAATGTAACAATACAGCTAATGTGGATGATATTTAGCCAGATAATGACGATAATTCCGTAGTTGGAAATTGATTGTTCTCTGACGATTATATGGATATTATGCCATATAAGTGTTATTATAAGATAGCATAACTGTGAAAGTGATACAGCTACTCCTCGTAACAATTGAAGAAAGTTCATGTTACAACATAAATATTAATATTCGATAACATATAAATCAATTTATGTACATGCAGTATAGTTTCCTTAGAAATATAAAATAAACTGAACCAAATCTTTTTTTCTCATATTCATCGTAATTGATAGCTTTTCTGAGTTGTTAAAATCTATACATTTCTTTGTAACGATTACATTTATCATAGGAGAGGAATTTCTCTTTATCACATGAGTATTTAAATTCTTCTGCAAAGGAAATGAAGCTTCATGTGAGTAGGTTGATAAAAGATGCACTGTGAATATATTATTGCGTAAATAAATTGAATAATTCTCGTATATCTATTAAACACGTGGCATTTTTCCTATTTTCTTGATGTACTTAAATGCGTTTTCCTTTGATTAAATTATTCTGTGAAAGTATCTTATAAAGAATAATTGTCTTTAATCCGCATTTCATTTTTATTGAAAGGAGTTGATAGAAGAGCTGGAAGAAATAGAGGAAGAAGAAAGTAAATTTTGCACTTTGCCTCGAGGTGGGAACACTTTTACAATAAGGCAGGTGGTGTTCCAAAAAGGTCCAGATTATAAACCCCTTGGATTCAGCATAGTCGGTGGGAGGGATTCCCCCAAAGGCAGCATGGGGATATACGTGAAGACAATTTTTCCAAATGGACAGGCAGCTGACAGCGGAACACTTAAAGAAGGTTGGTTATATTATACATATTTCTTAAAAAAGTGTGGATGAGGCTCCAAAACGATTTTGATATATTTTAATTATACGTAGTATAATATTTTAAAATATACAGGGTGTAAGAGGTTTGACTGTCATTACTTCAGTACAGGGGCGTAAGATTAACAGTTTTCAAAATACAGCGAGTATTAATATTGGGGATTTTCATCACAATGTGACAACAGCGCTTAACCTAACGCTACACAGCTGGTGTATACCACGTGTGCACGAGGTGGACTTGTCCTACGGAAAAAATGTAAACAACTATTATTGTGAAACATTTAGTAAATTTCAAGACAATTGTTTTTCAGTTTTTAAATCAATAAAATAAATGTAACGATTTTGTAGTACGAAGATACTGTTGTGCTTAAATTTTAGCTCGAATATTTTAGTAATTATGAATTTCGTAAAATAGGAACTTAACTTTTAATCAAATTATGAATTTGAAAAATATGTAATTAAAGTACCTAAAGATTCACGTCGTCCAAATAATCATACGTATTAAAAATAATTTAGGTACCAAAATTCAGTAATTTTTAAACGCACAAGTACAAAACAACCTACAAACATATGCTCAAAATGTCCACCACTATTTTCGATGCTCGCACGACACCTTCGAATCCAATTTCGCGCACTCGCTGGAAAACACCTCAAGAAAAGGAAATAGTGGTACGCAAAAAACACTCAGACACGGTCCAATTCCAGATACCAACTGAATTGCAAATTGCTTGACAGCTTAGTACGCCACGCCGTTGTCACATTGCTCGATATGAATTTTATCGAATTTTAAATTTATTACAACGCTAATTATTTTTTAGAATTAAGCATAAAGAAGTTCAAAAAAGTGATTAACATTGTATTTTATGGTATTCTGTGCACGCAGTTATGTCAATATTCCTTAATTAATCGAACTTTTGTACATTAAGTTGGAGATTTTGACAATTTTTTTTTGGAAATGGTCGAGTTTAGGACCCATGTCATATGAGGTTTTTTTGTTTATTTTAATGTATTCTATCGTCTGTTAAAATTAAGGCAGTCAAACTTCTAACACCCTGTATACCTGCCGATTTCCAGTTATTAATTGACGTCATTAAAAATCAAATTCGTCTACTTATAAGGTAAGAGCGTTCTTTTTAAGGAATCGTTTTGGTCAAAGTGAACCAAAAACCGTAGTGCGTGATTTTTAATTTACGTCTATCGGAATGACTAATAGCGTATCCAGTGATTAATAGTTTGCACAATCTACTTCCAAATTTGTAATAAGTAATCATTTTTTTCAATCCACGGGAAGACATGTTTCATTAAGCATGTTAAGTAATTTTTTGTGACTTATTGTTTTGTAAACAGTGGGGTAATGATGTAATCTTCACCGGTGGGCCGCTAGGAGTTATCAATATGGAAATACAAAGAAAAGTGTATAACTATAACAGCGATGCCTTTTTGTGCATTTATTTAGTACTTAAGAAATATTAATAACTACTTTGTTAGGCCATGACTTAGATTGGCTTGCATGAAAACATTTAATACTTGTTAGCGATTGACCTACTTCAGTAAAATCTACTGATTTCCTTCATAGATACATTTGATATTGTAAACTATATCCTTCATTAATATTAAACATATTTATACTTAGTATAAGATAGGGAAACAACAAACTTACTATTCTCACATATATTATACTCTACAAAAAATTTAAATTATTGCTGAACATAGTCCATAGGCGCAGAATCCGTAAGGCTATGGGTTCTCGAATACATAAACAACATTCGGTATTAACGTTTAGACTAGATGCTCTGCATGTGTCTGTTTGTCTTTTCATCTATTACAATTAAAAAAGGATAAAACACATCCAGAGCATCCACATGTCAATAGACTCTTATTGTGACGTCACATATTTAGGCAAAAAGTCTTTACTGAAGGAATTTATGGCAAAATATGAATAATTTTTGTTCGAAAAAATATCATAGGAATGTACCTTTACAGTTATTTACAATAAGGGCACCCATAGCAATTTATAAATTTCAGCACCTATGGTGTTTTGTTTATTGCATATTTTTTTTACTTAAAATCCACAAAAATACATTCTATATTCATCAAGTAGGACTCCTACGCTATATTTATAAAAAAGGTTGTGCGATTAAATAATTACTATCTGGGGGCACTGTTCTTTGTAATTCGGATGCGAAGAAGTCGAATTTAGCCTTGGATTGTCCGTGGACGAAGCGGTTTTCATGCCACGGGCAACATGTTATTGTTTCTTGCTATTATAGATTTACTACACTTTTGAATTATTATATGTTTAACCGATTTTGTAAATGATCAGTTTTGCATTCAGTTTTTCCATGCAACGATTTATATTTGTAATTTACGTTTAAATTGAAGTGGAAGTTATAATTACTTCCACACCGCGAGATTCTTTTTTTTTTATATACAAAACTCGGTAGTCGGTGATACGGTTCACATTTTTCTCACGTTACTATTTGCAAATGTATTTTTAATTCGTCCGTGAACTAATGAAGCTCTTAGCTATGACGTCATTCATTCGAATCGAGATTGTCTCGGTTTCGGAGGAAGTGACATCAGACATCAGCATTCGAATTAACTAGTAGTCTGCCTTTCTTTCAGGTGATGAGATACTAGCAGTAAACAGCAAACCATTACATGGGGCCTCTCACAAAGAAGCTATAAACGTTTTCAAACAAATCCGGTCTGGATCGGTGCTTTTACATATTGGGCGTCGCGTCATGAAGAAGCACAGGGAAAAAGCTTACTAAACTTATATCTACCGTGTGCCTCGAAATTGAATTTTCTTTTAAATGTTTCATATAACACTATGTTGAAGTGAAATATTTTGTTATTTAGAAGAAAAAATGTCTCTTCTATGTTCAATTTTAGAGTACACTGGATATAATATAATAATAAGTACCAAAGATAATCGTTATCTACAAATATGCAAAAGCATATTTATTGTGTAATGAAGGATGTCATTACTGGTTGTTGATTTACATATATATTTTTTTTGTACCATTTTTTACATTGGCAATGAACTGTAGTATTTATATACAGGGTCGGAAAGTCCCCATGGTTCATTGGCCGTTACGTGAGAGCGATAAAGAAAGTCATAGAAATCCGTGCGATGGAGAAAGATGGCTATAATGAAGGCATATAATAGTCACTGCCCATTTCACCCTTCCATAAATAAGGAGTGGATCTTATTTGTGGAAGGGCGAAATAGGCGATGACTATTAGACGCCTTCATTATAGCCATCTTTCTCTATCGCACGGATTTCTATGACTTACTTTATCGCTTTCACGTAACGGCCGATGAACCATGGGGACTTTTCGACCCTGTATATGTTAATGTTAATTTTTAACTAATGTATACTCATACGTCACCATATTTAACGATAGACTGTCTATACATTCATACTAGTTATAACGGATTTATCTAATTTGCGTTAAGTTGTTGTATTTGGTTATTGTAAAATATGTGATAAAATGTATTTTTGTACCGTCATTTAATTTGTCATTTTTATATATTTAAGATTTTACTATTTTATTATATATCCTTTAATATCACGTACTAGATATTCCCTTACAACCTAGTTTCCATTTGTACCTACATTATTTATAAAATAATTGTTCAATGTACTACTTTTATGTGACTTTACGTTTCTGGGACCATGAAGGTAGTAAAAATTGTCATTTCGTCATGTTCTATGTTATTTTATACAGGGTGTTTCAAGGAAAATGACGGATTTGGAATTTGAAAAACTATTTTTCAAAAAATAAAAAATAAAATCAATCTTACAATTCTTTATTTGAAAATTTAGTAGTTTTCCTAATGTCTCGAGTATGCGCTTTTTGTTGAGATTTCTCATTTAAAGTTGTTGTGACTGAAATTTTCTTTTGAAATGTCACAGCTTTGTTTATATCTTCATTATTTATTGTCTACTTTGCGAAAGTATAACCCTTAAAAGTTGTAAGACCTCTTGCTACCCCTAACAAAATGCAAAATTTCTACGCCATCGAATTTTTTCAGACTTGTCACGATTAGTTAGTATTTAAAATTGTATTTCTGGCAACAAAAAACGTTGAACTAATTTTGAGAAACGAGTAGGTCTAGTTATTTTACATTTTGTGGAGTGTTTGGTAAATAAAATAAAATAATAAATCGATAAAGTGTTTTTTTTTTCTTGGAAACCGTAAAGAGTAACAGGTAGTAATCAAATTTTCAAAATATCCAGAGGTGTGGAATTTCTGCGGACGGCGCTGAACACTTTGGGATGGTTAACTTTTGTCTAAGTACCATAGTTAATAAAAAATGTGTATAAATCTGGCAAACCCTTGTAATTAGAGACGAACTGACTCTACCCAGCGATTCTCCAGGTTCTCTACAGTCTAGGGGATTCTTTTAAAATTTATTAGAGCCCTTCAAATTTCCCAACAAAGTCAATGGTTCATGAAAATTGTTGAAAAATAAAAACTCTATTTAAGGGCACTACCGTACGCATTTGAGTACGCTGAACGCGCTGGGATGGTTAGATTTTATCTAAGGGTAATAGTTAATGAAAAATATATAAAAATCTCGAAAACCCCTATAGCTAGAGAGGAACCGACTTCACCCAGCTATTCCCCAGGCTCTCCATAGTCCACCCGAATTATTTCAGATTTTTCTGGGCCCTTCAAGTTTCTCGACAAAATGGATGAGTTCATTAAAATTATCAAAAAATAAAAATTTAAGAGCACTACCGTACGGATCTATTAGTTCACTTGATTTTTTTCAGATTTTTAGGAGCTCTTAAAACTTCTGGACGAAATCGATGATTTCCCAAGTTTACTGTTGTAAAAAAATTAAACGGTCCATCTTTTTATCAGTTTCTTTATAGTCTATGGGATTTTGTTCTTATAATGTTATATTGTGCAATAATCGGCAGCGCCATCTGTTTGATGTGTTTGAACTTTACTTCTGTGTAATAGACGGAAATTACAGATTTCTGTATATTTGATTTAATCTACTTTGATCTACTTTGTTGTGTTTGCAACCTACTTTTATTTATTGGTGTATATCTAAACTGCTTCTCTTGATGTAGGTAACTCGGGAAAAAATGTAAAAAAATTCTACATACTTTAAAACAATTTATTTAGCTTAAATATAAACATTTTTTCACATGAAAATAATTTTATTATGTCAACAGAGTAATATAATAAACATAAACGGTAACTAGTAATTGATTTAATCTTTAGTTCAACTAAACACAAATTATTTATAGGCAGGCATCTATCAGCAACATATTTTGACATTTATAATGCTACTACTAAGTTTGTTTTTTTTTATACATACGGTGCAGTCATTGTGGCTATTTCCATGCTCGCCGCTATAAAAATATCGCAAAAGTACACTTTTGATTGTAACAATTATTAAACAAAACGTGGACGATCTTCTGATCTAATATCTTAATGGCACAAAGAAAAGATAGGCACAATTTTATGACTACGTTTCAATGTGGCAAAATTCTCAAAGTAAAAAAACAGTATGTTCGTGTCGATAGTGATTCAATACATATTTTTAAATCGTATACATTTTGATTATTAATTTGATTTAAAATTAGAAAGATAGGAAAATTAAACGATGAAATTAATAGGAAGGTCAGGAAAAGTAACGATTTTTGAGATGCGTTTTTTAATGTGGAATAACTCGCATGTCAATATCCAGAGTGACTGTACCAAGACATTCAGCTTTATAGGTAGTAGCGAAGCACATGTAGATTTGGCACATATCACATAGTTATACACTGTGTCCTCGCAACGCGCTTCAGCGTCATATGACTTGAAGCAATATCAGCAGTAATGGATACAGTCTCTGGATTCTGATTAGTGAATCGGCTGAACTGACGTTTAACGGCGAGTTGTTCTCTTCGATCTCAGTCAGAGGCCCCTGGAAACCGTTGTACAGATGCTTCTCGCTGTTCTCTGTGCTTTCTTCGGACACCTCCTCAGTCTCGTCTTCTTCTATTTCCACACGCTCCTGTATCTCCACTTCTGAAAATATATTTGATTCGTAAAAATATACGTAATTAAAAATGAATTAAGCTGTGCTAGCTTATCACTCATATTTACTGAAAATGTATGGTTAGGTTATAAAGTAAACAAAAATATTACAAAATGAATTTCGCAATTCTGAATCGGATCCGTGATCAGCGACCCAGAAAACTCCCGTATACCAAATTTGGCGCGAATCTGTTATTTTTTGAAAATGTGGTAGGCCGTCTTGGATCCGCCATCTTGAATTTTTCAAAATTGAGCTCGGATCCGTGATTAGCGACCCACAAAACCCCTGGATCCCAAATTTGGCGCGAATCTGTAATTTTTTTGAAATTTCGTGATATCTGACCTTAATTGACCCGTTTTTTTGAGGTTAGAAAAAGAACCGTCAATTCTGACCGCGGATTCACGTTCGGTGGGGTTTTAACCATATAAATGAACATTTGAATATAGAAAAAAAAATTTTTTGTATTTTTCCTAGCACTTTTTCGTGAATTTTTTGAGGTTAGGAAATTCCTGTGATGTGATACCTCAGTTTTGACACCGAATTCGTGATCAGGAGGCAAAAATACGGCGGATAACAAATGTCGCATGAAAAGTACAGACAATTTTTTTTGTGTGGCTGTGTAATAAATAATATTGCATAAGGTCTAGTTGATGTTTGGCATTAGACAAAAAAGTTTTGTAAACTTCACGAGTCGGGAGAGCAAACCTTTCATGCCCTCCTGCAGGCTACGATGAAAGAATAACATTTTCAGGAAACACTCTCTCAAATGTTTAAACAACTTTCTTTAAGGCAACACTCTTACAAGGTTATGCGGCAGGCGAAATAAGCCCTCGAAATTAAGTGACATATGAGCTGGCCATACCCTTGAGCTTAAAATTGAAAACATATGTTCTGAGAGGTGCAAAACATATACATCGCGCTACTCAAAAAACGATTCGACATGCCTATTGTCAAATTTGATATAATACAGGGTGTCAAAGAAGTAAATGAAAAAATTTTGATCACGCAATATTTGTTTCGAACGCCTTTCAATTTTTTGTAACATAAAAATTTTTGTTTCCCGCCACTGGCGTTTACACATTAAAACTAACAACATACATTTTCAGTAAATACATCGTAAATCTAAAGTTTTAAAAATTTAGCAAAATGGCTTCCTTAATTTTCAATGAAAGATAAACGCCGAAGGAATAAAATTGTTTTACTGTTTTTGTATTAAGGTAGTTCTTGAAAGTTTTAAGATATTCCTTTTTAAATTAGTACCGTTTCTTTTGAAACGATTGGAACAGTTACAAAAAAAGAATGATTCCTTTGAATTTATTACGGTTTAAGTAACTTCTTGTTGGGGATATCTTTTGACCCAATTAACATTATTTTTGTAATAAGTAATGCAATTACGAACGTCGCTTTTGTCACGTTGTAATTAGATACTGCGTTAAAGTTAAAATAATATCCCCTCATTTGGTTACTCTACATGCTGCTGACTAAATACAACAGTGATACATATTACGAAGTTTATTTCAGTTATGAAAAAGGTGACAGGGGCACGTAACCTGAAATAATCTTGCGCACGTCACAATTGTCGGCATTCACAGTTTTTAAATTAATCAGAATACAATCATTTTATTAATTAACGAACTGCCGCACTACACTGAGCAAAATATTTGTCTATAATTGATCTCATCACAAATAGTGTCCGTTGAATTTTATTGGTGGTTTTAGCATTAGTAAAATTATTTGATTAAAGTAAAATGACATAACATTTATTATTAATTAACTCGCTTTCTTAGTGTACAAGATATATCGAGTTTTTTTGTAAGTGTAATTTTATTTGATTTATAATTTTATTAGTTGTCGCGGGCGAAATCAAATCGAATAAAAGTGATTCTCGACATTGTTTTATAGAAGTCGCGAAACCAAGGAAACTTTTGATAGATATATGTGTATTGGTTTCCCCAAAAACGAAAGGCATCGATACAAAGCTGCTGTAATCGGATTTTATCAATTTTTACAAAAAAAAACCAATTTCGTTTTATTGTCACAGATTCGCGTAAAGTCTCATCAACATTTCGTAGTTTGTAGAACATAAATCATGTAGTATGAGGGGAGGGGGGGGGGGGGGTATATGTTGGCTTACCGTAAAGGCGAATTGTGCCTTCTGCGTCTCCTATCGAGTTCTTCGAGATACACTTGTAGCCACCTAGATCAGACTTATGAAAGCGACGGATAATAAGTTTCATCTGCACGCTGTAGTAGGAATTGGGGATCTCCGTCATCAAGTACTTGTCGTTTGATATGATCATCTCCCCTGAAAAAACAAAAACAACTGTCTCAGAGTTTTAGTCGGGCATCTACCTGTTAACGCTGCATCGTACGCTAAGATGAAACCTATCTTTTATTCCCCAGCGATTTGAAAACGAATAGAGCATTAAAAAAAACTTTACAACGAATTATAGATTTTCATCATACCCATGTTCTTTATTTGTGGCTTTTTGGTAGTTTCATTAATAGTTATTTTACTATTATGGCGCATTGAAACCGATTTGATTCATTAAGTGAATTAAAAAATGTTAAAAGGCCGATTCAAATATATTAAATACTAGCAATACTAGTTATAAACCAATGCAAAAAATTAGAGTCAAAAGAATTTCCGAAATTCTTCCGTGATTTTTGACAGACTATATTTAGGTGAAAAATGGTCGTATCGGGAATTAAAAAAAAACATTTTGAAGCTATTCTAGACAAAAATATTTTGCAAATCCACGGACTTGGAATTTTCTTTTTTTCAGCGAAGCCATTGCATGGACCAGATAGCTTGTTTATTCAGCTTCAATTTCCTCTTTTCTTCAATCATCGATATTTGCAAAAATTTTTTGTCGCGCTATCTCCTAAAATTGCTTGATAACTATAGCTCCTAAAAAATTTCGACCGAAAGATCTAAAAACTAGAATCTTAGAGCTTCAAAATATTTTTTTTTTAATTCCCTATACGACCATTTTTCACCTAAATACAGTCTGTCAAAAATCACGGAAAATTCTTTTGTCCCTTTAAATTTTTGCATTAGTTTATAACAAATACACAAGTGATTGGTCGACATACGTTTACATAGGGAATCCCAAAAAGACCCGAACAATATACTGCTGACCTTGGATTTGACCTTGACCTTAAGTTTCAGGGTTAAACCAAGGTCAACTCGAAAATATTAAATGGAATACCCTATTTTTATGTTGGCAGTCGATAGAGCGTTAAATTTTACGTCGAATACGGTGTAACTAATTTTTTCTGTATGTCCTTGATGGTCAAACTTATTTTTCTCTGAATAGGTCGACAAAAACGTTTCAATCAAAATTTGTAGGTTTATGTTTGCTAAATTAGATGGTAACCTTTGATTTAGCCTCTATCTTAAGTTTCAAGGTCAAACTAGGGTCAACATGCAATATGAAACGGAACACTGTTTTTTATGTTAGCAACTGAACACCACGTTCGAATAAAGCGCAAACAAAATTTTCCCTGAGTTTTTACGGGTTATTTAGGGGTCAATCAAATGTTTCTAGCAAAATTTGGAGGATTTTGACAAATGACAAATTATATGGCAATCTTGGATTTGTCGGAACAGCTGATTAGATGTTAGTCCCCAAAATCGCACTGTCATAAAAATTTAATTCTTAACCCAATTTTGACTATAAACTACTAACTGCTACTTTCATGTCCATTATTTCCTGTTGGTGGTAACCAAATATGTTGATGACCTTGGTTTGACCTTGACCTTAAGTTTCAAGGTGAAATCAAGGTTAACTTGAAAATATTAAATGGAACACTCTACTTTTTAAGTCAGTAATCAATAGAGCGCCAAATTTTACATCCGAATATAGGGTCAGGTCCTGTATGTCCTTACAGGTCATTAGAAGGTCAAACTCATTTATGTCTGGATAACTCCACAAAAATGCTTGTAGGATGTTGAATGACAAATTAGGTGATGACCTTAGATTTGACCGTCAACACAAGTTGCAAGGTCAAACTAAGGTCATCAAATAATGAAACCAAAGAAATAGAAGTTAATAAGATGTTTTTATCCAAGGTCATCATCTAATTTGTCGTTCAAAATCCTACAAATATTGCTTGAAACATTTTTGTCGCGTTATTTAACCTTCAAATGGACTGAAGGACATAATTCGAATGTAAAATTTGACGCTGTCGACTGCTAGCATAGAAAATAGAGTGCTGTGTTTAATATTTTCAAGATGACAATGGGTTGGCATTTCTCTTACACAGACCGACTTGTTGTCTATTTTTTAATAATTAAAAAGTCGCCGCGTCTCTTAAGGCACAGTAAGGAAGCCGGCTATAAGTAGTGGTCAGCGCATTGTCGAGGATACTCACCGCTCTCTCTGGTCCAGTAGTTGATTGCTTTCGGAGACGCCTCGACGTGGCACTGGAGGGTGACATCCGTGTTTACAGGGGCTCCCACAAGTTGGTTTCGGACTTGAATCAGCGGGTGGACTGGAACAAGCATCGTTAAACTAATTAGTTCGGAGGTCAGCGGTAGCGGATGCAGCTGGGCTAATGGATTATGTGACCCTAAAAGGTGACTGGCAAGGAAGAACCGTTCAAAAAATAACACTGGAATACTTTTGTACAGGGTGCTTCTGATGCAGACACCATAATTCCAGGGGCCTATACACACTAATGCAAAAAATTAAAGGGTCTAGAGAATTTCCGAAATATTTATTTTATTTTATTTAGGTGAAAAATGGTGGTATCGGGAATTAAAAAAAAGTATTTTGAAGCTCTAAGATTCTAGTTTTTACATCTTTCGGTTGAAATTTTCGTCCACGGACTTGGAAAATGTTTTTTCAGCTAAGCCATTGCATGGACCTGATAGCTTGTTTATTCAGCTTCAATTTCCTTTTTTTTTTTAATTTCGATACGACCCTTTCATTTTTTGCATTAGTTTATAACGTCAAAAATAAAACCATGTTTTCGTAACAAAGTTTGGTCACATTTTTTTTGAAAAACAATACGATGCGTTGAAATTTGGTTGGTTTTTGATCATCCGCTAGAGGTCGCTAGCTACTGCCTCACCCAGTAACATTTTATGACGTATTTTTTTGAGGTTAGGTTGTTTACGGTATATGTCATTGATGAAATAATTGAAAACGTAATTGACTGTCCCAAAATAAACCAGTTTCTGTTCCATAATGTATAGAGTGTCCAGAAATGAATAGGCCATACTTCCATGGTGCTATAGTTTCTTGGATGAAAATAAATCGATGTAGATGAAGGGAGATTTTAACAAAAGTAGGTATAGTTTCTATGTAAAATTAACTTTTATATTATAATATACAGGTATCACATACATTGTAGAAAATCTAACCTCAAAAAAGGTCTCAAATAGTCAGAAACTTACTTGTACCAAATTGCACTGCATTGTGCTGTTTTTTAGAAAAAGTACTGTCAAAACTTAATTTTAATAAAAATATCTTTGACGCCTTGTATCTTAAAAACAAATGTCGATCTTCTTATTTTTTGACGTTCTATCCCAAATGTCCCAATTTGTGGCCCAATTTTTTTGTAATAGAATATCAGAGTCGAGTCGAAATATTGCCAAGCAACGGCAACGGGAAAATGTAAAGTTTAAATCGAGGCAACCCTTCTATAAAATTCTCGTTTTTGAACGTTACAACCGTAATAAGCCAGTAGGGCTCCGTTCGTCTGTTTTTTCTCGGTACAAATCACAATTTTTGTTTGTGCCAAGTTATAAAATAAATCTCCGGGATTAGGGTTATGAACATTGTGTTCCACAAACTTTGCAAGAGAATAGACTCGGTGATTTCTCTCCTCAAACACCTATACAAAGACATTGTCTGCCCTTATTAAGTCTTAGCAAGAAATTTAACGGATCTAGAACTAAATCTACTAAATCCTATACCACCATAATAGGAAATTAAATTTGGGCATATCATTGTTGCTCATAAACGTACAATTCGGCGCATGCGACGAGAAATTTCAACATTCGGAAACTAATTTATATAACATTTTTAGGATACGACTCGGAGGTGACTTTGTTTGCAAAAAAGCAAACTGTAGGAACGCAAGGGTCGAAAAGGTCAATTAGGAATTAAAAAGGGATTTTACTTTGTCTTCATACATATGCCTTTGTTGAACTCTGTTACAGTATTGTGGTTGATTCGGCGTAACTTTTCAAAAATTTTGTTAACTGCCACAAGACTGGTTGAAATGCCTTAATATACAAGGTATTCGTCCCTCAGCACCAGGAAGAGATTAATACCTTTTTAATTTCCTTTTCTGTTTCGGATATCTTTACGGTATATTTAATAATTAAGTCCCATAACCCTATAACCCCAACAGCCTATAACCCCAGTAATCCAAAACATCATAACCTAATATTATATTGTGACATGCAATTTTCTTATGTTACACTTCAGGTTTATGGAGTTTATGAAGTGATGGAGGTGTAGAATTATGAAGTTAAAACTCTTCGAGGTTGAGGTTTGAGTTTAGCTTGTAAGTTATTTTGTTTTTATTTTTGCTCATTTTGCGTTTGCAATTTATTGGGATTTGAGATTTATGAGTTTTGAGGTCATAGATTTTTAGGTTATGGGTTTTAGAGTTATAGGTTATCGATCTAAGGTTATTGAGTTATGAAAGTATAGGGTTATATGGTTTAAGGGTTGATATTATTGGGTTTCATAGTTTCAATCTGTTTTTTGAGGTTAGAAAAAACGCTGACGTGATGGGGCAAAACAGATTTCGGATTCGGTTTTAGCGACCCAAAAAACATACACCCTGTAGAAAAATACCAATCAACGGAGAAAAGACGTAAACTTTAACTTACGTTGGATGGGTTGGTGGATTGATTGGAAGAAATCTCAAATAAATAATTTGAGACAATAGCTAACAGAAAGAAGAGGCATCTGGTTGAGTCAGTCGAGTGGTGTGACGTCACAGAAGATGTTATCGACCTGATTTTTTCACCGCATATTTAAGGCTTAAAAAAAGGTTGTAACAATTACTTAATGAGCCTATTAGAGCCAGCTTCTAATATAGGGAAATGTGAAGGTAATATTTCCTTTTTTTTTTTAGTATGTGGGTAAAGTTTTGAGGCAGTCAACGAGAAAAGTGGCGAGAAAAATGTTGTTGCCGAAAAAATGTTTTGAATCTTAAGCGATAAACGCACGATATGTACTTTTGGCTAACTTTCCTTTTAAGCGATTACCACTACATTACAACGGCGGGATTTGTTACAAACATGGCCGATTATCGCATTCTCTAAAGTTCGGAAACAATTTCAATTTTACCATTTTAGAAAAGTCAGTCAGTCAATCAATTTAAAGCTCTTGTTATCAGTTTTCAGTTTCGCTACCCGCGCCACAATATGGTGAATAATTTGATTGCTCTCTAAAGTTTTATCGCCCGGGGGAATGAATTTCAGCTACACATCTACACTGCGCTGTTCAACGGCTCCGTAAATATATTATGTAAAGTCTGAAATTGAAAGTCATCTCTTAAGAAATGTTAGTGTAGTGTAAGGAGAGGACCCGTGCCCTGTGCGTTACGCCGTTAAAAAGCGTGAGAAATTTAACTTCAACTCGAGCACTTATAGCTTATCGTCCCCGTTATGAATCACTGGTCTCTCCTGGACTAACAGCTCATCTCATTCTTCACCGTTCTAGATGCAAAAGATTCCGGGAATTTTCTTTTCACTCGATGCCTGCAAGAATTAAGTGGAAAACTCGGAACGGGGAGGGGACGGGGGGGTTTGTAGGATGGGGGTGTCAGATTTTGGGGTTTACATCTTCCGGCTCTGTCACCGTTACATTGGGGATCCATATAAATTAGCAAATGTACGAAATTAAACAGAGCGGAACTATTCATGGAATTCACAATTTTAAAAATTTACTGTGGCCGTCCTAATCAACCGATTTCAATTTTTCAAAAACCATTTGAAACGTTGAGCGGTTTTTTCTATGTGAAAAAATTATCAAGTATATAGATGCTTTATTTGAAGCTATGCAACATTTTGAAAATTCGAAATTTTTTTTTCAATATTTTTTTCAAAAAATTATTTTGCGAAAACTAACCGATTTTAATGAAATTTGGCGTGTTGTTTTATTATACTCTAAATTTTTTTCATTACTAAAATTAGAATGCCCACGGAGCAATTAAAATATTTAAAAAAAATTATCCAAAAAACTTGATTATTTTGTCTCTTTTTTATCAATTATTGCTATTTTGCAACATCGGTAATAAATTTAAACATTTTTAACTTACAGTATATTGTGCAAAATTCAATTTTAAAACTTTGTTCCTCTTCAATATTCTTCCAAAATGCATAGGTTCCAAGATATAAGTAAAAAACTCAGATAAAATAGGTATTTAAAATTTTTTTAACATTTTTGCAATTTTTAAAAGGTTCCGGACCTCGCCCAGATCTATCTACACTATTATTATGTAAGTTGTACTGAAGGTAATCCAGAAAAAATTTGCTTGTCCCCACTCACATCCACCTCAAAACAGATCCGCCCTGGTCTATTATTTTTAATCATTCGGTATTTTACAACTTCTGTAAAATTCCTGCGTCACGAGGTTTCAATAATTTCACAATGCAAAATCAAACACATTTTTTATTAAATATGATATTTATCTTTAATTTGGTTTTCAATAATAAATCAATACAATATTTTATTGGAAACCGTAAAAATCGTTTCGATGTTTTGAAAATTTATGGGAATTTGATATATACATAAACAGAATGTAATAAAAAAATTGTGATATTTGGCGATTTTAGTTCAAATATTTGCCATTTTGGAAAAGAAAACACAACACATTGGTCTCATACAGGAATATTTAATTTACATTTTCCGTAAGTAGTTAAACCATTAAATATGTGGTGAGAAAATCAGGTCAAAAACTGGATAAATAATTTTTAATTCGTAAAATACTTGAAACGCCCAAGCTGTTGTCAGAGTAACGTCACACCACTCGACTGTCTCGACCCGACGGCACTACGCCCTATTAGCTAAAGTTACTTATTTGCGGTATAATTTAATTTTGTTCCTTTATTTGTGATATAGAAAGCCTACCCTGTTCATTTATATTTTTCAATCCTTACGCCACCTATGCGTTGTTATGTAATTTTCTCCTCATCTGAATAATTCACATATTGACACTTTTTACCTTCTTACACCAGAGTCTACAATTATAGTTAACGCTTCGAAAAATCAAATTTATTAGAACTTGTCATTATTGTCCCCTTCCTCGCGTAAGACTTTACTAACAAAAATAACAAAACTGAGCTACGCCTTTACGAGTGTTCACATATCCAACAAGACTGGCAGCATTCTGTTGCGTTATTACTGTGAGAAAAGAGACTTTATGATGCATGCGCGACCCCTGTGGGGGCTAGCCTCCTAACGGGTGGTATGACGTCAAGACATGGCTTCCGTGCGTTTTCCTGCGCTCCGTCATCATTCATCATT